CTCTCCTCTGCTTGATAGAGTGCCAAAGACGGGATCGACGGTTTCGAACTTTGCAACGTTTTAATCATTGACAGAGCTTGCGGCAGCAAATCATCTATTGCAATCCCACCGGTTCCCAAACCACCTGTCACACACTGTGCGTCTTAACAATTTCTACCACAGCCCCCTCCTCCAGCCAGCATCCCTGAGAACAACCCCTGCGCATCTCGTGAGGTTTGAACAACCAAGTCCGAGTATTCAGCCAATACGGCCAGCGGCACGATTGAGCTACTTCGCTTTCAACCAGACTGGTTCCAAGGGTGTTCCCTTGAATATGTCGACGCCTCAGTGGCTTTCGTCCTCCTGCGTGTGGCTTGACACGTCAGCTTGAGCAGTCGCAAAACAGGGAAATGAGCATCTGGTGACCCGGTAGTTTGGCTGACGCGGGGTATCGAGTCTTGCCATTTTCATTATTGGTCAATTCTCAACGATAGACTGCCGACGTTTTCATAGGAACCCGATCTACTGAGTCCTGATTTTCGACCTGCTATCAGCCAGGAGTCCTCACGAAGAAGGTTTCGAGTTCAAATGGCCACTGATCCACCTCGGACGGACTAGAAGCTGTGCTGACACGCTGGCTACTTGGGCACTATCGTGAGGGGTTGTCAGCCGCTTGGTGCCATCACCTGTAGTTCGCCATCCGTGCCCAGTGTTCACGGACGAGGCCCCCTGAGAGCTGCATTGGACAGCACCCGAAAAGCCAAGCTTTTCTGGTCTGGTAGATCAGGCTTCTCCCGATTCTAGCATCCAGTGTCACCTCAGCGCTCGAGCGGCCCCTCCACCGATATGCTTAGGTCAGTTGGATATGGGCAGAGCAATGTCGTGACATGATTATGGAAACTTCACATTCAGTCTTCTTGTATTATCGCCCATTTGCCACTGGTCATATCTACACGACTATGGAGAGAGCAGGTCCAGCAAACCCACAAGTCATCGCCCGAGCGTTTGCTGAAGTTACTCCCGAGTTTCTTTCAGCCTCCCAGCAACTCGCCAGAGTTCAGTGTGTCTTGCCACAACTGATCAGTCATGGGACAAAGTCCGATAAACCTGTTTCTGAAACGCGGAGAAGGGAGATCCCGCCACTGCGAGGCCAGCACTTTGTGTGTGATTCTGCACACTGCTCTCCCCTGACCCGACCCATCCATTGAACCCATGCAATCGGGGCTTTGGCCCAATCATGTTGCATTCTTGAGAGCAGCTTTCTGTGTCTCCGTTGCGGTTCGGGCGGCCGAGACCAAGCTTTTCGGGGTCATCCGAGCACATGGCTTGAGGCGACGTCTTCTGCAGGTCGGGCCAGGAGCATCCCGTTGCGAAACTCCTTTGTGAACAAAGCTTCCTCTCTTTGACCCGGAATTTTTGGGATGAAGAAAATCTATCCGCCGAGAGAGTGCTGTAAGCGACTTATCGGATTCTCATGTGATGATATTGGTGGTGGTTGCTGGGAAGCTTTCCATTGCTAACCCGGCTGGGGCTGCTGTCATGGCCGTCGGGAAAGCTCCCACCTGAGGTGACTATTCCGTTTCATGCGTACCGGCAGATGGCCTGATCTCGGATCTGGCTAGGTAGACTGTTCGTACTGAGCGGCCCTGGGGGTATAACCAGCGTTCTAAGTATATGCAGGGCCCTGTGGTGCAAGCCCACCGGCAATCGTCTGTGTACCACAGTATGCTGGTAGTCTTTCAGCCATTGTTAAAGGTTAACATGATGTGACATCCCCGGACGGAAGATATCAAAGGGCTGCCGCGGCCTCCTTCTCTCGTTCGGCTCTCCGCACCCGGCGCTCAATCATCTCCACCCGGCCTTCGACATCGGCGACGAAGTCGGAGACGCCCAAGACGCCCTGCTGGTACCATGCCTGGAGGACGTCCTCACTCCGGGCGCGCAGCTCGGCCATCTCGGCCTCCTGGGCAATCTGCGTCGCTTCGATACCGCGCAGTCTAGGCATGAGGGAGGCGAGGGCCGCGCTCTGGGATGATTCGGGGATGGGGCAGTCGTTGACGGAGGTCAGGGACGAGGCTGTTGCCGGGAAGGCGGCAGCGGAGGCGAGGACGGTGGCTTGGATTGCTTCTGGGGCGAGGTGGATTGGCGGCTCGGAGGGCGGCGGGGGTTGGAAGAGGGTTGGTTGGGAGTTGTCTGGCAAGGGGTTTTGGGGTCAGTTGTGCTCATGAGGCTTGGGATTTGGCAGAGCATAAGAGTTGGCGGAGGAACGTACAGATCTTCATCAATTCACCGTATACGCGTATGCGGGAGAGGATGTGGTTGAAGCGGCGCTCGAGATCTTCTAGAGTATCGACTGCTGATTCTGCCTGGGAGGAGTGTGAGGGTGCCGCTGGGCCGTATAGGAGGTGCTCGATGCGTAGTAGACGCGATTCGAGGAGGGATATTGTTGAGAGCGTCGTCTTGTCGAGGGAAGTGTCCATGGTCATGGGGGATATCGCGCCTTGCGTCGTCGCGTGTTTGAGCAAGTGTCGTTTGGAGCAAGGAGATGGATTCCACTACGCAGCTAGTGTGCCGTCGCGCGTGGTTCAGGCTTGAGGTGTCTAGCGTAAGACGTTGCTGGTGATTGCCGGTGAGGAAGATGTCTTAATTGGGAGGTAAGTCGAAACAAGCAAGCAATTCCCCGAGAGTTGATCGTCGCGGGTTGCGATTTAGCGTGGTAAGGCTGGGAGGTGAGGAAGCAAGGGAAAGTGTTGGTTGAGTGGCTGAAGCTCTCCTCTTGGGATCTCGAAGTTGAGATTCCGTGTGGCCAGCTGCCCCGGGAAAGTGTGGCTTGTGACTGACCCACCGGACCACCGATCCAAGACATACGATTAGATAAGAGGCTCTCTGGCTGAACCAGCCAATGGAATGAATTGGTCTCGGGCGCATTGAGACTCATTTCCCACAATGTCTCTCTAATTACAAAGTCATTATTCTTCACATATTTTCGGTATCCTAACCAACTATATTTGAGGCGGTTGCGGGGAAGACGATGAAAGGGAGAAGCAAAAGCAACTTTTCTAACAGACATTAGGTAAGTTGAGGCACATCACAACCAACGACATCAAACGGCATGTGAGGGTCGTCTGAGTCTCGTGCTCCCCCTCAAACTCTCCAGTGCTACTCCATGCCGGCCCCTGCGCCAAGCACAGGGTGAGGCAAGTGTCATGGAGCGGATGAGCGGGCTGGGTGAACGCTAAGGTAAGGACCTGCTGGCATTCTGTTGCTTGGTGCCATGCTGTCTTGCCTTGTCCTGCGCGGGCCGGTGTTGGCCGCTGACGGACATTTGGGAACGTGCCAATGCCTCGTGGCTGTGGTCATGGAAGTCTCCGCAGGTATGAGGCACGTATGTACATAGGTCGGAACGGATACCGAAGGTCCATTGTGGTCTGGGCAATACGTAAGAATTGCTAAACTGCCAAATGCTTGCCCCGTCAAGTTCCAGTCGCGGGTCTCCGGTTTTCTTGCCTAAGAGCTCCCCGGAGGTAATGCTGTGTAACAAGAATCAATGGCATTGGACAGCTTCTGCTCGGCGGTAGCAAACGCTCTCGTCAGTTCATCATTTACTTCCCTGACCAACTTCCACTTGCTGCAATACCCACCACTACCACCACCAAGACTGGCAGTCCACCACCACGCAAGACGCAAGGTACCACCACCCTCACGACACCCTGTGCCTGCTCATTTTACCCGCCCCGAGTCCCCCGACCAGGTCCTGTCATCCTAATACCACCTTACTCTGGGAGCTGCCCGCCGCCTGTCCATAATTAATACCTTTAAACTTCTCGGTTATTGAGCGGGAACCCTCGTCCCTCCTCTTGCTCCTTCTGTCTTTCTCCCGTTCAGCGTGTACTTTGTACCTGCGGGGGGCTGAAGTGTTCTACGGATACATACGTCCTTTTTCCCATTTGTACACGTATACACCTTACCCACGTCCCGGGGGAAGCAAAAAGACCATCGCATCGCATCGCACATTGTCGTGTGATCTATCCGTCCGTCCTGCGACTTTGCGACCGAGACGACCTTCGACACCTTGGACGTGCCGTCGTGACTCGTTTTGTCGCCGCCCCCCAAGAAGGGCATCCAGAGATCGACAGGCAGACGAAAAGTGCTTGCTGGCCGGTATTGGCCACCCCGTCCACCGTCCGTCCCAGTGCTGCCTTCTCAGCCCGGCGGCCCCATTCAGCCAGCGTCAGCCCGCCGCAGAACCAGAAACCTTGAATTACTCGGTCGCTACACCCCGAACCGAAGCCTGCGAGGTTTGTCCCAGCAGGGGCAACCACCTTTTTCTCCATTGATTTCGAGAGATTCCTCCAAAAGCACGTCACAGCTGCCCTGCGCAAACTCTCCGCCGGCCATTCGTCGCAACGTCACGCCTTCTCTACGCCTTCTCCGCCTTGACTGACTGAGAGAGTGTGTGGGTGGGTGCGACGACTCGAACACCACTGACGAGTGACGACCGACCACCTACCTCCTGCAGCCGCAAGCCGCAAAGCCGTAACCGCAAGCCGCAGTCGCATTCCAAACGCCGCGAAGCCGAGAAACGCCGCCTTGCTTTTCTTTTCTTCTCTCCTCTTCCAATTAAACAACGAGCAACTGCTTTCTTTCGACCTCTCTTGTTACTCGTACGCTTTCAGCTTTTGCTCGACATACCATCCACAAAACAGCTCCATATCTATCATAACTCACAACTTGTGACTGTGTTCTGTGACTTTGGGTCACAGTTGTGGACACTTCGTTCTACTTCCCCAATCCGGCAACTTCTTACGGACTCTTTTTATTTTTATTTTTTGGTTATTCTTATCTGACCTCCGCTTTTTCGATTGCGCTTGCGACTACTATTACCAACCACTCGAACGAGAGAGAGAGCTTTGCGACGTAATCTGGCGACGACAGCGAACAACGAACAACGACCGACGACCGACTGATCGAGACGACGACACCGACGGTGATCGATAATCACGAAACGGGCGAGCAATACTATGACGAATTACTCTAGCATTACTGATGGAAACGCAAATTCAATTGCGTCTGGAAGCTCCGGCGAAATGTCACGGTATGCCGAATTCCCGATCCTCCCCGCAAAAGCAGAAGGCGCATACAGGCAGATCACCCAGATGGAAGAGAGCTTTGCTGACGCATGGGATACAAATCTGCAGACAACGCCGAAGAAATACTAAGGAGGGGGGAGGCCAGGCCTCGATGCTGAGCAGTGTGATCAATCTGCTCAATACTAGTACGTCCTGTCGCGGATTCCCACGAGATGGCACACGAGTGCGGGGCAAGAAAAGGAGCTGACGAATCGTGACTACAGTCGTTGGCGCGGCAACGTTGGCAATGCCGTCAGTGGTGTCGCATATGGGCTGTATGCTCGGTGTGTTGATGATTGTATGGTCTGGACTCACGGCCGCCTTTGGCCTGTATCTTCAGTCTCGTTGCGCCCGCTACCTTGATCGAGGGACATCGTCCTTCTTCGCCATTTCCAAGATTACGTACCCAAACGCCGCCATCATCTTTGACACTGCCATTGCGATAAAATGCTTTGGGGTGGGTGTCTCCTACATGATCATCATCGGCGACTTGATGCCAAAGGTCTTCATCGGCTTGTTCGCGAGTGCCGTGGCGGAGAACCCTTACCTCGGCGAGAGGAACTTTTGGATTACGGCTTTCATGCTGGTCATTATTCCTCTCAGCTTCCTCAAGAAGCTCGACTCGCTCAAGTATACCAGTATTGTTGCTCTGGTCTCCATCGGGTACCTCGTCATTTTGGTCATCTATCACTTCTCAACGGACCGGCTCAAGGACATGAGCGAAATTCGAGTTGTTGAGCCCGAAAGCGCTGTCGCATTCCTCAGCACATTGCCGGTTGTTGTCTTTGCCTACACATGCCATCAGAACGTAAGTTGATCTTGGTTGGTCGTCGGGGCTTTATGCTGATTCCGTGGACAGATGTTTGCCATCTTGAATGAGATAAAGGATAATTCTCCTGGCAGCGTCATAGGGGTTGTTGGCACTAGCATCGGCACGGCCGCCTCGATTTACACTGTCGTAGCAATCACTGGCTACCTCACGTTTGGCAACGCTGTCAAGGGCAATATTGTCATGATGTGTAAGTGATCCTGGGAGGATGGTACCCTCAGACCCTGCTGACTTTTTTCAGATTCTGCAACTGCCGCTTCCTATATCGGACAGCTTGCCATAGTAGTGCTCGTCACCTTCTCGGTCCCTCTTCAGGTCCACCCTTGCCGCGCCTCCGTCGATGCTATCCTCAAGTGGCGGCCTAACCGTGCTTCGAACGCAAACGGCCGGTCTACCTCTCCGGGCGGACGCCCGCTGCTGCCCTCGTCGGCTTCTGTACGCTCCGACCACGGATCCAGCTCATCCATGGGCGAGACTCGATTTGCGATCTTGACCTCAGTCATTCTCATTCTTTCCTATGTCACCGCTCTCTCAGTACACAGTCTCGAGAGAGTTTTGGCCTATGTTGGAAGCACCGGCTCAACCAGCATTAGCTTCATCCTTCCAGGCCTGTTTTACTACAAGATTAGCGACCCCGACAGCATCCATCAGCAACGCCTTCACAAGGAGGACGATGACGCCGATGCTCCCAATGACGAAGAGGATGCCGATCCTATGACAACTAGTATCGCCAGTCTTGGGAGCATTGCCAGCCATGTGACGGATCCTCGCCAGTGGAAGCGCAAGTGGCGTTGGGACCTCGAGCACATTGAGCAAGACGCCCTCCGCAAGATGGCCCTCGCCCTCGCCATCTACGGCGTATGTGTCATGGTGGTCTGCCTCTTTATGAACATTGTGTTCCACGCATCTCACTAATTGCGGCTACCTTCATCTTTGATGAAGATGCGGCTTAGAGGAAGAATTGTTCCATTGAGACGACGATGCAGATATATTTACTATACGGCCGCTCGGGATAGACATACGGCGACGTCATAAAAAGTCCCACGGGCAGCGTCGCGCATTTTTTGGAGTTGGATGGTCTGCTTCTCTTCTCATTCTTAAGGGGCTTCTTTTGTTTTCTTCGTGTACCCCTTACCAGCGTGGTGGCTGCATGTCAAGGGCGTTGATTACGTCCAGCATTGGTCTTCTTTCTCATTGTTTAGTCTGGAAACAGTTTCTAGGACAGACTTGGCCCATCGGCTCATAGTCACAGCGGCCTTTTGATAACCTTCAAACTTAGCTTCAATCGGGAGTGACATTTTTGGTCTTTTTACAGTCGTTTTATTGTACAACTCTTGTGATGTGACGTGGTGCCGGATGCCTCTGGCGTCATCACCTCACGGTCCCTCGTCAATGCCCGTGGGCGAGCCGAGCCGCACCCTGGACACGTTTCTGGCCTGCCCGTTGCCGTCTCTTTTCGCCTTAATAGTACAATCCCGCCATCTGCCTCTTCCGCTCTGCGCCATCACGAATCCCATGCGTGAAAGAGCCAAGTGCGACCCCTGCGATTCGCGCGACGCTTTTTGATGCTTTTGATACACGACACATTCCCAGCCGATATGGGCTAGCTACCCCATCCTCGTCTCATCCATCTGAGCAGAACTTTCCTACAAATCGTCGCTGCCGGTGCCTATGATGATTCCGCCGGTGCCGCCGCCTTGGCCGGAGAGGCAGGTGTCCTCAGCGACTTTGCCGCCGTCGCCGTGTTGGCGGTGCCGTTTGGTCTGAATTTGGGCTGGAGGATGCCGACCATGGAGAGCAAGCGCCAGACGGTCTCGGTGGGCTGGGCGCCGACGCCGACCCAGTAGCGGGCGCGGAGGGAGTCGAGGCGGATGTCCTTGTGCGGTTTGGTGGTCGCGTCGTAGGGGTCTTGGCGGGGGACGGGGTCGTAGGTGCCGATTACTTCGATTGGTTTGCTGTTACGGGCTGTTCTGTTGTTGGTGAAGAAGAGTCAAGGGTTAGCTTTTGGGGGGTGTTCTCTTTTCGTGCTCTGTTGAAGTTTGCGATGCGGAGAAGCTTTGCCTCTTGGCAATGGAGGGAGGGGGCTTATAGTGCTCATCTCATGGCGGCGATGATGTGATCTTCTGGGGATGGTGACTTGTGGTCGAAGGCGTACCTTGCTTGTGTGACGACGATGTTGTAGAAGGGCTGGTTGACGCGCCCGAAGCGGGCAAGGCGTATGCGGACGACCATGGTTGGAGGTTGTGTGGAGGGTTGGGGCTCGTGCTGGTGTTGGGAGGAATGGACGGTTCCGTCGGGAGGCTCGGGTGGGAATCGATTGAGTTGTCGGGCGTTCGGGGCGTCGAGATCGCGGAGCTACACAGCTTCAACGATGTATAGCAAGGTGAGGTGATGTGAGCCGTTCGGTGGCCTTGGTCGTGTCCGGGGGAATTTTTGGTCGGTGGTGATGTTATTCCGCTTCCGAAGCAAGCTTGGCACTAGTACGAGAACGGTAAGGTAACGGAGGAGATGACTGGAACGGGGACCGGGGACCCGGGCCCCTACCGATTTTCGTGTGGTGGGTTCTTAGTGATATGAGCAGAAACCAACAAACGATATTACCAAATAAGCAGTGGAAGGGAGGGAAGCGGGGGCGGTCTTGTTAGAGAAAGAGAGGGGAAACTAGGGGGGATTTGCCTGGCCACATCAACTTCCCACTCTGTTCTCACGAGTCACGGCTCTTTCTAGCGCAACGACTAAATAAACTTTCCACGACTCGAGCTACCTCACGGCAGGAAACCCGTTTGCAATGGCCGACACACCGGCACCTCCCCCACACCCATCATCGGGGCCCGTTACAGAGCCGGCTGCCGAAAAGGTGAATCAACGGGCAGCTCAACCGGCAAGACCGGCAGCCACCTCTCCCGACGTCGAGGGGGGAAGCACAGATCCTCTTGCACAAGTGACTATCGCTGGCGACGATACTGAGAATGAGACCGACGCATCCTCATTGCAGAGCGGACTTACTGCCACAACAAACGAATCCCAGGCGTCTGTGACCCCAAGCATCTTTGACTATCGGCTCGAAAATGGCCGCAGTTACCACCGCCTCAGCGATGGCAGCTACCTCGTTCCCAACGATGAGACTGAACAAGAGCGTCTCGACATTGCGAACCATCTCTGGCTCATCGCCTGGGACGGTAAGTTTTGCCTGTGCCCCAAGAACCAGGGTGCCAAGAGGGTTCTCGACCTCGGCACGGGCACGGGCGTGTGGTCCATCATATACGCCGACGCCTTCCAAGGTGCAGAAGTTCTAGGCGTAGACCTGAGTCCAATCCAACCCGAGTTCGTGCCTCCGAACTGCTACTTTGAGGTTGATGATTTGGAGAAAGAGTGGACGTGGACGACCCCGTTCGACTTTATCTTTGCGCGTAATATGGCTGGCAGCTTCCAGGATTGGGCAAAGGTCATTAGACAGGCGTTTGAAAACCTCGAACCCGGCGGCTACTTTGAGGTCCACGATAACCTGTACCCCCTCGAGTGCGATGACGGCACCCTCAAGGAGGATTCGGCGCTGTTCCAGTGGTCAAAGTACCTCGTCGAGGCCACGGACAAGATTGGCCGTCCCATTACCATTGCCTCCAAGCTTGACAAGATGCTCGAGGAGGCCGGCTTCGTGGACGTGGTAGTCACGAAGCAGGTCATGCCGGCGTCGCCTTGGGCCAAGGACGAAAAGTTGAAAGCGCTGGGTGTGTGGACGTCGGCTTCGCTCCTCCCCGGCATTGAGGGCCTGTGCCTCGCCCTCTTTACCCGCGTGCTGGACTGGGAACCTAACGAGGTCCTTGCATTTTGTACAAGCGTCAGAAATGATGCCAAGAACTTGGGCATCCATGCGTACTGGTACGGATACTCCATCTACGGACGAAAGCCGTTCCCCAAGGGAGGGGAAGAAGAGGCTACCCAGAACTGAGATTGGAGAGTCTATTTTGGAGGTCTGCAGTTTTCCTGTTAGAAAGGCAAGTCCAGACAGTGACTGCCTGATAATTATGAGCGTGCGTTTCTCGGGCTACATTATATTTACAGTATCGATCATATGTTATCGTTCTAGCGGCTATCTTGTGTTCTCGTCTTTGGCTTTGCTACAGTGCGTTTCATGAATGTCATCATGTTTCTTGGAACCAACCTGCATGATTGTGTTCTGGTCTTCTCAAGAGTAATTGCCTATTACTAGATTACGCTTTGTCTTTTGCCTGTGGCCTCTGTTACATGAAGTGTGTGCAGGTCAGTTTAGTCCCCACGATCCGCGCTCATCTAGTGGACGCCGATACACGTGAGATTGATTCAATCAGCTGAAGAAATGCGTGACTGTATGAATTGTGAACCTAATGATAATTAGAGACATTGACGGACAAGCTAAGACAAGCTTCAAGGAAGTTAAAGCCAGGCTGGTTGGAGTAGCTGTCGATTTATGAGCGTTTGAGCTTTTACCTGCGCGATCTTTCGTGTTAGATCTGAAGACGATCTCTTCTTTAGCTGTGACGCAAATCGCTCCCCCAAGACGTTCTCAGGCAGATCGCCCAGACGATCGGCGATGTGCTCGAGAAGCGGAAAGAACTACGTTTTGACAAGATCCTTCAGGAGCCCCTGAGCTGGTTCATAGATTTAAACAGAGCACCACTATACCCTGCCAAGGTTGACCCCATGCTGTCGCAGTTTGAAAGTGACAGGCCTTCAGGAATAACTTATCCAAAAGCATGCTCGGCAAGGCTTCAGAACTTATAGCCCTTTATGTGAACGGGAGTGATCTTGTGGCTTACGGGGACGATAGTCACAAGATGCTGAAGACCTTTCCACGGATGTCTGACATTGAAGCTTCATTTATGGTCGAAACGTGGTTGAATAGCTTGGAGTACGGCCTGAAGAGGCGGATGGGTGCTCTAGAGCTCACGAATTTGCGCGGTCCAAAAATTCGGACCCCTTTCGAATGCGAAAACAGGCCCAGTCATCGTGGCTTTAAGAGCCAGTTACGGACGCTATGGAACATGAAATCTCATGGTATTGTGAACACATACTGAATCGAATCTGTGAATGAATACCTGAAAAGATTCGCAAGTCAGGAGCCACCAAACCACACTGTACGTGGAAAAGTGAGCATCGTAATACACGCGACCATAAAATGAATGTTGAGAATGTGAGACATTTGCTTCAGGAGTTCGGGAATTCATAGTTCAAAGTTGTTTATCGTGCACGTAAGGTAGGCTCTTTGTGTGTCTGTGTCAAAGAAGTGATGCCTAGGCTGACATCAGTGTTGAAACCAATGACTTTTACTTGGATAGATGCTGGCGAAATCGCAAGTCTTACGTGCATGATACCACCAATCCACATCGTGGTTTTCTTTCCTAGCTAAAAGCTTATGAGGGCTCAGGATTGAATATTTCTAGAGTTCTTTTAGGAAGGCTGCGATGCCTCTTTTCCCACGAGTTTGAGCTATACCTTAACATAGTGAGACCTTCCGTCATCTACCTGTTCTATATAGGTCAACTGATGGCTTTTCTTTGCCAGCCCGAGCCTCAGTCAATCATCGAGTTGTTTGTAAAACCCAGCTGAATTTGGGTCAAATAAATGAATGATCAAAAGTTTCGTTAATCCAGTTGAGATATCCGTAACTCTTATTTCATGAGAAAGTATTTGTTCTTGGCAGCATGACGCCAGTCGTAGCCTGCATCAAAGGGATCAAGCCATCCTGCAAGGTGTAAGGACTTTCCGCGCCACTTGATTTCTCTCTTTGAAAGACAGCATGGGAGGCAATTTGGTAGACCTTGAAGAAAAGGCTATGTCGCTGTGTTCATGTCTCAACGCTGCCGGCCAACTACCATTGGGTGTGCCAACAAAACCCAACTAAGCGCTGGTTAACAATTGCAAGAAGGCGCTATGTTTTATGTTGTTCTCCAGTAACCCCCTTGCCTGAGAACGGATAGCGGGAATGAGAGCACATCATTCACTTGAGTCTTTTTCCAGGCTGGCTATTACGTAGTACAACAAAGTGACAGAATTCGAGGCAGCATCAGGTAACTATTAAAAGAGTCATCTCAATGAGCACTCTGCATGGGCGGCATGCGGTTGTCAAGTCTCGATTTCGCGCCGCGGCTAAGATTGTGCTTGCATCAAGACCCCATTCGGCTACTTCCTAAGACCACCGTGCCGGGAATTCGGTGCGCGCTGGGGACGCCTTGACCATGACAATTCACTCCACCAGCGGCTGTAGCGGCGGCAATGTGTTTGATTGTTCTCTGGCACCCTGGAAAGTGCGATGGCGAAGATGGCAGCTACTTTGCGAAGACAACACGATAGATACGAAGAGTTGTTTCCAAGTACGAGACAATGGCCCGAAATTCCCGCGAAGAGCTACTGTGGCTCGTTTGCGGCTAAGGTAGAGTCTTCTATCAATAGTTCTGCCCCAAGTGCAGGTGGGCTGGTATGACGCCAAGTCCTTGCTACTAGTCACACTTACTGATCCCGCTGCAGGCTGCAGCTGTCAGGAACTCCGCCGTCGGAACTTTTGAACCAGCTTGGCGGTGCCCACCGAAAAGACGACTGGACGAGCCTCCAAGTGGTCGGGTTGTGTCAAATTTGGATTGACAAGTGACAGACAGGCTCGAGGTCTGCCCACCGAGATGACAGGGCCCGTTGCCACCGATCGTCGCCTCGGAAAAGTACATACACGAGGAAAACGATGGCTTTTGGCTGCCCGATGCCAACAAATCTAACAACCACGCCCAACCCGGCCTGCTGCGTGCGTGCGTATCTGGTAACCTAGACGAGAAAAAGAGGCACAGAAGGAGGAGAGTCCGAAGAGAACAGTCCGAAGAGAACAGTCCGTTTTGTTTACTATGCTAGATTCCTTAGGGTGGAAATCAGTGCTGCACGGGGGCGGCTCTTCCATGCAAGGTACCGCACAACCGAGCTAAAAGGGGGGTTACTGAATTTAGTCTGCCAGCCACAACCCCAACAGTGTTGACCATGGGTGTGCTTCATCTCGCCTGGGTTTGTGTGATGGGGATGGACACAAATGGAGGTTTCCTGATTGGACCTGGGGACAAGAAAGCATTCGTGCTGAAAGCCTGAAGCCATTGACCGTTCCTGGTGAGTCTTTCTCTTTTTTTTTTTTTTTTTTTTTTTTTTTTTTTTGGGAAGAGCTGAAAGTTTCATAAACAATCTGTCTCTGGCTATCACAACAAAAACCCGGAACTCTATTGGCGGCAATGGGCCATAGTCTCGGCAATACCGGCCGACGGCCGACGGCCTTTGCTTTTTACGAGTTGCAGTGGATGCCATTTGCTTCCTTCGCGTGCGCCCGAAGCAGGGAGTCGCCTACGTCACGGCTGGCAGAAAAGAAACCAACCCACCATGGATTGATGGTTTTAACAGCAATCTAAAATTCTCTGAAAGTCGGTTTTGCATACGAGATGGGGCGGTGGGGTGGCACTAATGAGTGGAGGAGGAGGGGTGGGAGCACCAAGCCTGACTCGTCCGGACTATCGACAGGGATCGTCTACAAATGGGTTGTTTATAAAGCTTGAGGGGGGAAGCTCAATTTCTCTTATGGTGTTCGGTCAACTTCTCAGATTCATCAATTTTGGACGTTCGTTCTTGTCACTCGCTCAGACACACTACTTATTCTAATACCGGAAAACTTCAACAAAACACCAAAAACAAACTATATCTAATTTCTCACTTAGAAACGACAACATGTTCTCCAAGACCGCCGTCGCTATCACTTCTTTCTTGGCCATTGCCGAGGCCGTCAAGGTCACCAAGCCCGCCAAGGGCGACGACTGGGACCTCTCCAAGACCAACGAGATCACCTGGGAGACCGTCTCCAGCGACCCCAAGAGCTTCGAGATCGTCATCGTCAACCAGTCCGGCTACCCCGAGGTCTCTGAGACCATCGCCACCGTCCAGGCCGCCGATGGCAAGTACGAGCTGAAGGGCGCTAAGGTCGCCGCCGGCGATGCCTATCGCATCAACCTCGTCTCCGTCGACCCCCAGAACTCTGGTATCCTGGCTCAGTCCAACGAGTTCAGCTTCACTGGCTCTGACGGTATGTGAAGACCACTCATTTTTTCACTATGATGGTTATGAGCAATCGCGCTGACTTGCCATGATTTAGACTCCTCTTCCGCCTCTGCTTCTGGCTCCGCTACTGCATCGGCCAGTGCCTCCGGCTCTGCTGCCACTGCCTCTGCCACCGGTTCGTCTTCCTCGGCCTCCGGCTCCGCGGCCACTGCCACCGTCACCCAGACCTCCGGCCTGACCACCGTGACCACAGTGACCACCGGCTCTGCCACTGCCTCGGCCTCCGGAACCGCTGCCTCTAACGCCTCCGGCTCAGGTACCGCTTCCGGCACCGCCACTGGCTCCGCTGCCTCTGGTACTTCCACCTCTGCTCCCAGCAGCGCCTCTGCCATCAAGTCCACCTTTGCCATCTTCGGCTCCGTTGCCGTCGCCGCCTACATGCTCTTCTAAGCAAGATTTAGATACAAGCACGAATCTTGTTTTTTCCTTAGAGCTGTTTTGAGAAACCCGAATGATACCAACCGGCTACGATTAAGGGAGTAGCGACAAACCAGCGAAGTGCATTTGGATGGGCTGGAAATTGAGGATTATATCACGCAAAAATCGGATGGGTTATGTCTGGCGTTGCCTTCGCACAAGTTTGAATTACGTTTTTATAGAGTAATCTTGAAGCCTTGCTACTGGACTCCCTCCATTTACAAGCGGCTCGAATACGCAACCTGCATGTGTGAGTATCCGTAAGAATACCCTGACGATGGAGAACCTGGTATGGGTATGCATGATGGGATGGCCTTCCTGGGATTTAACCCCAAGTTTTCGCGCTGTTCCGGACGCGACCTGAGCGCGGAGATGAGCAGACCCATGCCGTTCATCCCGAGTGCCCAAAAAGTCAATGAAATAATCTCCACCATTGAATTGGGCTCGTAATTATGGATACAGAATGGGCGCACCTAATTCGAGACCGTTATGCGGCATAACCCTGCCGTTCCCCTGATCGGCTGCCTTAACGTGCAGGTTGGCGTCTGTTGGTTAACCCAATTGGGATTGACGGCTGGGATCATGCTAGGATGGGGCGGTCTTCCTTCGCTGCTCCGTTATCGCGAGCACTGGAGTAGCGAACCAACGGCTAGTTCAAATCGCGTCAGATCACCTATGGAAAACATGATTGTAGATCACGATATCACGAGGAAAGAATACGGGTTGCTGACTCTCATCATTTCGAAACGAAGACCGCACACCGGCAAACCTGTCGATGAACCCCAAGACGGTCACTTTGCGGGCATTACCCGCGAGTTCCTTTTTATCGTGGATCCTGAAATTTCGCGACAATTTAACCTTCCACACTTTCCACGTGCTGAAGTAGCTTTGTTCGTTCCTCCACTGTCTTGAAACTGTGAGACAGTCTGCTTCAGCCTAAGAAGGCGCTCACCAATAAGAATAGCGGTCTGGCTGGTCTTAGATGATGCCGCTTATTAGGAATGTTGCCCGTTGAATTGTGACGCGAGTAAGGGATCTATCTCGCTGTCCTTATTTTACCTATCATCGCGTGCTAAGGCACACCCAACAATGGGCTTTGTCTACCCTGCTCTTCCGTGAAGTTCAACCGCGATGATCTTTCTTCCCCTTATGATTATATCTCTAGCCTGCGATGTATGAGTGAATACGATTATAATTGTTCCCTCGCTCAATCGCGTCTAATTCAGCGCTCCAATACTTGATGAGACGCTGAGTCTCCTAATCTCACACCTCGAAACTCAAGTTGCTGATTGAAAGCTATTGGCGGAGAATGATCAGTGGGGCCCACTGCTCAGGAGGGCTTCTTTTACCACAATCCTCACATTGCATAGCGCGGAGACTGCTCTTGGGGTTCGAACACGACATCGGGTTCCTACTGCGGTTCAAAAGTCTTCTTGGTAGTTCCTGAAGATTTTGCAGCAAGTTCAGATGTGCTGATTTAGACTGGCCATTGAGGTAACAGACACCCTAAAGCATTCTGGGGAAGATCAACGCCATTCCGGATGGTGGGATGCACAAATCATTCTACACTAAGCATCTCCACTCATAGAGGAGGCTGTACTAGTACTTTTTCTTCTTCGACTGAACAACCTCATGGGTCCGCTGGGTTGTGTTCGCTTCAAGGTTGGCGGTAAATAGCCCTCTTTTAGAGACTGAGGGCTGATGTGTGACTGAGGGAAGATGCCAAACTTCCCTTTGCTGTTCGTTCCAGACCAGCACCAATGATCCTGGTAAAGCCCTGAAGATGCTTAGGTTAGCACTAGCACTGAGCCCGACCAGTCACTCAGGGCAGGGAGAAAACACTTACACCCAACGTTTCTGATCACCTCTCCCTTCCCAAACGTCAGCCAGCCTGCTCTCGAGTTATCGGAATGGTCCCATCTCCATCTCGTGGTGATCGATACCGCGCTGGTAGCTTGGAACGAAATCTCATTCTGTTTTGGACTCTCAATCTCAACGCATTTGGCTGGAAAGGGTCCTTGAATGCCGTCGTGCCATCCGGTGCACCACTTGCCGCCCCATTGCTCTGGAAACTCAACACCGACAATCTTTGCGCCAACGAAGAATGTGAGCACATTTGAGCTACCGTCAGGGCCCAGGAGGTTCTCGCCTCTCCGCTGAACGTGGCTCTTCAAAGCTGTGGCGACGGGAAACTGGGTGAGGATATCATTATCGGGGAATGAACTTGGAGCTGGAGGCGATGGGAAATGGACATCATAATCCTCGATTTGATGATGGTCCTTGCCGACTTGACCATACAAGACAGTAACGCCAGGAACTTCAGGGAGAGGCTGTGGATGGCGAGAGAGGTGTTGGAGGAGCTGATCTGCGCTCTGGAAGACGGTTGCATCCCCCTCGTGAATAGTGCGTCCGATGTGGGTGCAGAACAGACACGCGTATCGGATTTCCGCTGTTGTTTTCACCGCGATGTGAGATTTGACCAGCAAGCGCACACGGTAGAGTATACCATACTTCAGAAAGTTTGCTCGGGCTTGGGGTTGTCAGAAACAGCAAAGCAAATCAATGGAAACTCGGGTTGGCTTACAGTCACCCTCTTTATCTAGAGTTAATGATCTGTTCAAATGATGATACTCGCAATCCATGCACCGGCCGATTGGAAGTGGTTCGCCCTGCTTTTGTTTTAGTCGTAGTGTTCCCAACCTGGATTCCGTGCGTCGAAAATGTTTTGGGGGTTTGAGGGTTGACTTACCCACGTCATGGTCTGCTTGATGCCGTGCCAATATCCTCCACGGCGAAATGTTTGTGCGCCGTCACAGAATCCCTTGAGTTGATGGAAAGAGCTCTTTGGCCCTATCAAACATCCTTCTTCCTTTTCCATTGTTGAGATGGATCTCAAGTGTTGCGTACTAGTCTCTGAGGCTGCTTGCTCATCAGCCAGCATCAGTCCATCTGTAAAGAGTCCGGAAGATGGGAAATCGACGGAAAGGGCTGGATCAGATTTTGTTCCTGCGCTAGGTGACATCCTCACATCGATGATTGGAAGCTCAGGTGAAGTTACGTTGGAAGAGTAAGTTGGGACATCGGAGTATATCGACGTTCTGTTTGTAGTTGAAGGACTTGTTGGATCAAATACCGAGCTTTGCGGCGTCACGGTGTCGAAGCCTCTTCGATGCATCCGGGATACGAATGTACCATCGCTAAATGCATCATCATTCACGGCAGAATTCTCGGGGATGCTTCCACGGAAAGGTCGCCTGGCTTTTGGAACAGAGGTCTGCTCTTCAACCCAATCTGATGTCCGTGGTTGTAAGGGTTCCGGTGAAGTGACAATCCTCAGCTCGCCCATCCCATCGCTGAGAACACCTGGGGATAACGGTCGTCTTTCCCCTTTACTGGAGGAATTAGCTCCCAAAAGTCCACGAGATGATGGAGGATCTGAATTTGTTGACTCGGCTATGGAGTGAGTCCGCCTCACCGTCGCACTATCAGACGAGCCATGTGAGTCTCTCGTGCGACTACGGCTCACTGACAGTTTGGGTTGCCGCGGTACGGCAGGAAATGAAGGGATATTGGCGGTTCCGTGGCTTCCACCTCGCAAAGGCGGTCCCGGCCGAATTTGCGGGCTGGCGCTGAGTGACTGAGCCAGCTGGGGTGGTAATGGTGGTAGAGGCGGCAATGGCGGAAACTTGTGCACCGGCGTGGTCGGAGTTTTGACGTCGATTTTCACCCTCTGAATAGCGTCCAGTACCACTAGAGCAAAGCTTCGTGTCGCCGTCTGAATATCGATAAACTTGGTCGAGTCGAAAGTGTCCAACTCTATGTAATCCTCAAAGTCGTAAAGCAGTTCTTCAAGTGTCCTTCGTTTCTCCGCCAGATCATCTTTCTCGAAGATCAGTCAATCGACCACCATCCAGGCATGCCACGGCTCAACATACCATTTTCGGCGATGGTCTCTTTGAAGACATCTCCATGCTTTTCGAATTGGCTATTCCACAAAGGTCGTAATCTCTTCAATGCCCGTTGGCCTTCTTTTGCGATGGTGCTGGCTGACTTGGCCATCTCCCGGGATGTTTCCGGATCCTCATCCTGTGCATCGTGTGCATTCTTTGCAGATTCCTCCCCCCTTTCTACTACTTCGCGGAAAGGAGCAAGAATGAGCTCCTCAACGTCGACAGCCATGACTCGGAAATGACTGTTGTATGAGTTGAGACAATGTAGGGAAGTAAAATGCCCAAGAGCCGCTCCACGTCCGTGAGTTCGGCAAGGTTCGGATCGCCCATGAGACAACGTGGCGATGGGGTTCGAATTAAAGGGTCTTTCCAAACGGGCCCGTTACCACATAGCTGGTACACTGAGTACACTGCGAGACACCCATTGCGCGGGAGATTACTGCCTGCAGCCTGAGAAGGCGGCGGCGTGTTGGAGAGAGGGTGCAATTCGAGGACTGTCCTCAGCCACTCGATGGAGCACGTGGGGAGCTCGCTAAGGGGCTGAAGACAGGATTCTTCATGCACACCTGGACACCAGTACGGCGCTATTGGTTCGGTCGCCTAAAGAAGTGCATCTTGCCGAATCGCCGGGCACTACACCGAGAAAGGCACCTGGCAAGGCTTGATTATATTTTCAAGTTGGCAAATTGAGCTTGTGTGCATGTGAATTTTTGATGTTGGAGCTGTCTACGCTAGGAAGAATTGGTGAGTACGTCGAGGAGCAATACTCGTATCGCGTATCTTAGCCTAAGGTGTATTCGATATTCCAAATGTTCGCCCTCGAAGCTTAAGTGACACCAAACTTTTCTCCACGTTCATCTCCCTGCTTTGCCTGACACAGCAAACCTCTTCTGCTTGGTACTCCTCATTACCCCATCTGGCAATGTGCTCAAGAAGGTTAAATAGCATTGGCCATTCACAGCTGGACCCCATACCCGCTTCGAGAGCACGCCATCCCGTGCCGTTCGGCCTTTGGGAGGGGCTTTTCCTTGCCAATATCAACGACCACCGCCCGACTCCGGGGTCGAACCGATGCCGGGCGGCCACGGAGCGGGGTCGGTCTCTTCTTTTCGGAGGTGCTGTTGCGAGACTCAGGTAATTGCCAGTTTCGGCTATCCCCGGGAGCCGGTAAAGCTCAGCTATGCCGGCAAGTTCAAGACTCGGCCCCGCCAGAGAATCTTGGCAACTCTATTCAATCTCTGTAAAAGAGAACAGCGTCACAATTACCCCGAGGACTAACAAATCCAACAAAGCGTACTGTCTATTGGACTGTCATGCGGTAGACCACTCAAAGCTCTTTCAGGGACAGAAACTCTACCACCGAGCTCACTACGTCAATTCCATCGCTCAGTGCTTCCGAGATGCACCGTATCCCTGTGTCTTGAATGGAAGCGTACTGAGACGATGCAGACGCTGTGCCATCGTTCCCTCTCCAGACTCCAGAGTCCAGCCAAGTTCCAACAAGTGTCAAGAGGCTTGCTCGGGGGATTCTCCGGACTTACCATGGCAATACGGGACAGCCCACTTAAACCGGCTACCTATTGGTTGACATTGCAACAGTCTTCTTTCCATCACGTTTTCGGATAGCCGACGATAAGAATTCCGTGCCGAGGCGCCGCAACCTGACGCATTGTTTGCAGCGTTAACCAATGCGGTGGAGCAGGTTCCAGTTCGGTTACAGTACGGGTCCGGCGTCGGAGCACTCGTCCAGGTCGGCCATCCGACAAGTTGATTGAAATGTGCGTGAGCCTGGTTCACCTGTTAATCCAAAATTCTCAATTCAAAGTAACCAGGCTGATTTCGATGGTATCATGGCGGAACAGTCAATTCATCAAAGAAAACTGGAAACATTACTGCCTTAGAAGGTGAATCGTATGTTTAACTGCGAGTACTGTGGTTTTCGGACACTTACCGTCATGCCGGTATACCTGACTCAACACCTGCGGATACGGAGGATCCTAGACGCCTTAGAAGTGCTCTCAAATACCAGCATCGCCCATCCGAGAGGTGCAACAGTCCCGATGTCCGGAGCTAGGCTTCGGGTGTTGCCGAGTCGGCCCCATCTAGTGGAGGGTTAGTCACGGATATCGGCCGCCATATCAGTGGCCCATTTCCGTACGCCGCGGAAACAAGTTTTGCTCCTTGTCTTTGTCAAAATTTCCTGTACCATTCAATTAGACGAACTCTGGATAGTAATTTGCCTCTGGAAACAAATGGCCCACAATGGCAATCGACAACAGCATTCGCGAACAAGGAGACTCTTCCCAGAGAACCTCCTCAGATAGGCGCGATGACGACATTGAGGAGTATGCCGACATCATCCCTGCGAGGTCCAAAACTGCCAAAGGAGGTTCGTCTTGGCCCAGCCAGTGGAGCTATCAACTCTAGTAACTCACCCTATTGTCGTAGATGATTCATCGCAACCAAGCTTGGCAAAGCTTCCATCAGGAGTCCTCAATTACCAAGACGATCCAGTGGCTCGTCATCAATCTAATGTGGAAGTGCCCTACGAGATATACAACCGGTTTTCAAAGCACCGCAAGCACATCACTGTTGCCGTCATTTCCTGGTGTGGTTTGTTGTCACCAATCTCTAGTACGGCGGTTCTGTCAGCACTCCCTGAAGTTGCAGCCGAGTACAAGACTAGCGGAGATATCATCAGTCTTAGCAATGCGTTGTATCTTGTCTTTATGGCCATTAGCCCCTGCTTTTGGGGGCCATTGAGCCAAGTGTACGGCCGAAAATGGGCAAGTAGTTTCTCTACAGACACCACTTCTCATTCCGCGACGAGTTCATTGTCAACTAGCCGTCGCCTGTTCATCAAGGTAGAGGATGTATGGCTGACAAATTGATCTAGACGTGTATGGTGACAGCTTCATTGTTTTTGGGGTGCTCGATCGGCACAGCACTCAGCCCCAACGTCCCGGCTTTCTTCGTGTTTCGCATCCTGACCGCTTTTGCTGGAACATCGTTCCTCGTCACCGGTCCTGCAGTGATTGGCGATTTGTATCATCCTACAGAACGCGCGACTGCGATGGGTTGGTTCTTATCCGGCACACTCATTGGACCGACGATTGGCCCAGTCCTCGGAGGTATTATTGTGACCTACACATCTTGGCGCGCCATCTTCTGGCTTCAAACCGCGCTCGCAGGTGTCGGCGTTGGAGGTGCCATATTGTTCATGCCAGAGACGCTGCAAGAACTGAAAAAGGCAGGCCTCGAAGGGCTTGCATTCAGTAAAAAGGTCAGGGTGCTATGGGGCATGACGAACCCGGTCAGAGTTGTTCGACTATTCAAGTTTCCGAACCTCATCCTGGTGGCAATCGCCAGTGGCTCGCTCGTATGGAACATGTACGGCATGCTGACCCCGATCCGATACGTTCTCAACCCTCGTTTCTCTTTGACGTCGCCGGCACAATCGGGCCTATTCTACTTGGCTCCGGGCTGCGGCTATCTTGCCGGTACCCTCGTAGGTGGCCGCTATGCCGATTATACAGTTCGGCGCTGGATAGCCGAGCGACACGGACGACGCATTTCCGAAGACCGGCTGCGCTCTTGTCTTCCCTTCTTGGGGGCCGTTTTGCCGGGATGTATGCTCATTTACGGATGGACAGTCCAGCAGCGCGTTGGTGGCATTGCTGTACCTGTCGTTTTCATGTTCCTCGGAGGTGTATCACAGCTGTTCTGTTTCCCCAGTCTGAACACATACTGCTTGGATGTGATACAGGGACGCAGCGCGGAGGTGATTGCGGGTAACTTTATGGTAAGATACCTCTTTGGTGCCGCTGGCTCGGCTGTTGTACTTCCAGCAATCAAGGTAATTGGAGTTGGATGGTTCAGCACCATTTCTGCCGGCTTCTTGGTGGTCGGAGCTCTCAGTGTTTGGGCTGTCGCACTCTGGGGTAGAAGTTGGCGCCATCGTATTGATGAGAAGGCGAGACCATCTATACCATGACCTTCAAGGAAGTAAAATATCCTACTCTTCTTTCACTCGATCTTTCACTGGAGACAAGTAGGATGGGTACGAGAAGGAGACCTTATTCAATTAATGACGGATGTGACTAAAGTTCACGAACGGCGGGATATCCGCATCTTGTGTTTCAAAGTGGGAAGACATCTATTAATGCAATGCAAAGATCATACGATAGGTACTTCGACACGTCGGCGTGGGGAAGGCTACGGCGAGGAGTGCTGATCGGATCATTGAATAGAAGTGAGATTGAATCGTGAAAGACCTCCACGACGTTCGCAGATGACATGAGACATCGAAACATGGGCTCCATAGCCGGGAACCCTTATTCTTAATCCACTACCCTTGGTGCTAATTGGATGACTGGGAATCTGTATTCCGTTCGGGTTGTTAGTCGCTACCCGACGCGGCCCCCGATAAGCATTCGACCGATTTTCGGCCGAATCCCACGATTCCAAAACTTGAGACGAGCTACCATTTCAATACTTCGGTCTATAACTACGCCTGGATGGAGCCTACCAAGATCATTATGTCTCCGAGTAGTACAGTCTCAGTGGACTCACATGGTGTCTATTTAACCATACCTGCCGCATATCCATCGGCGTAACCGTCTACTTAAAACAGTAACATTCAAGATCTTTGCCACGTACCTGAGCGAAGGAGAACATTCAGAAGATATGATGGCGAACAGAATCAAAGTCGCCATAGCCGGCGCTACTGGGAACACAGGCTCTTCCATTGTGAATGCGCTGCTGAAGAGTCCCGAACTCTTCGTAAGTTGGATTTTGTCGGATCGAATCTCTGCACTCGGAACTTGGGTGCATCTAACTCACTTGGCGACAGGAAGTTACAGCTCTAGCGAGACCCTCCTCGATAAAGAAGCCCGAGCTCGTTGAGTTTGCAAAGCGAGGCGTCCACGTTAAGGCGATTGAGCTAGATGGGCCAACAGAGGCAATTTCCAGAGTCCTCACTAACATGGACGTCGTCATCTCATGCTTGACCTTGTTCACATTTCAGGAAGAGATGAATCTTATCGAAGCATCGAGCAAGGTTAACGTGGGTCGATACATTCCAAGCTTTTGGGGCCCGGTCTGCGCACCCCGAGGCGTCATGATGCTCAGGGATAAGGTGAGACTCCAATGAAATGACGTGCCTCATGTGAAGTGTTTTCAAGATCGATGTTGAGACTATTGCTAATTCGAACATCGGCATGGCAGAAACAGGAGTTCGTTGACCGTATCTGGGACCTCCATCTTCCTTACACCATCATCGACGTTGGATGGTGGTATCAGCTGACATTGCCTGCCCTACCTTCAGGCAGATTTCGCCCAATGGTAGAAGAATACTGCACCACGCGTGTGATCGGGGACGGCAATATCCCTTGGGCACTTACTAACAATCGTGACATTGGAAATTTTGTCAGCCGAATCATCGCCGATCCGAGGACCTTGAACAAGATGGTTTTTGCATATGGAGAGGTCAAGACACAGAATGAGGCCTTCGACATTCTTGAGAAGGTGTCGGGAGAAACTGTGACACGAGAATTCGTACGCTCACTGAACCCTCGTCCTTTTCTGGAAAATAAGGCACTAACAGATGGCTTAGATGACTAAGGAAGAGCTGCAAGGCATTATCTCCCAGGGTCGCACAGGTCAGGACATTATGACAATCAACCCCGAGATTGGTATGGGAGAGTATCGGAATCTGCTTGGTATTCGAGACGAGAATACTCCTGAGTATGCACGCTATCTTGGATATCTTGATGCGAGGGAATTGTATCCAGATGTGAAGTGCATAAGCTTTGAAAACTATGTCAGAGGTATCTTGCAAACAGTTTGAAAGCCTGGAAAATTTCTAAGCCAACGGCGACTGGGCGTGTGGCTCTGAAACGAGGGCATCCAGTCTGGGGCGAACTGTCGAATTCAGACTGTCTACGACACATCGGCTCTAGTTAAGAGAATAGATTCCGTAAGAACTTGAGATTGATATTTCATTGCGAATATATATGTGGCAGAATGTATTTGATACTTGGTCATACTTTGACCCAAATAGAATAGGTACAATAGAAGGTGATAACCTGTGTTCTGAGGCTAGCAGGTCTCTTAAGTGCCTTCCGATGTTGAATGAAATGCAGATAAGTTGACCTCAAGATAAGGGCAAAACAAGGAGTCATGAAGTAACTAGTTGGTGACAGTTTGTTTTGCCGAGCCAGCGCCATTCCAGGTCTCGACAGCAATGACCTGGAAGTTAAGCGTACCCAAGTTCATACCGTAGCTCTTCCAAGCATTGAAGTGATTGGAAATAGACACCGTACCGCTTGTAAGACCGCTGTTGCGAACCGAGATGTATTGGTTGAAGGTCTGGGTGCCCTGAATTGATGGGGCGTTGGTGCGCACATTCTCCCAGATGGTATAAGAGCCACCATCACTGGTCACGGTGCCCTTCTTCGTCCCGGTCTGTGTGAATCCCGCAGAGTCCTCAATGACGTAGTACTCCACAAGCGGATTGGTGGTCCAGCCATAGACTGAAAGGGTCGCAAGACCCTTGGTAACTGCGAATGAACCAGAATGAGTGATGGGGGCGGTAGAACCTGGGTTCCAACCGACACCGACAACGAAATCGTCTGTGGTATCGAAGTTGAGACTGAAGCTGTTGCCCGAGGGCGTGAAGTTGACAGTGCCGCCAGTCTGGTAGTTTTGGACGTAGTTGGTGCGCTCCTCAAGAGTCATGCCTCGTCTTTCGAGGGACTCATTGCGGCGTGCGAGCATGAGGGGGTGATTGGGTCCCAGGAAGAAGTCGGAAGGGCCCCGTCGCTCAACATGAGGAGGCAGCAACTCAGCTGGCCCGATTGCCGGGGCAGCGAGGCAAGTAGAAATAGTTGAGAGGCTCAAGATCAGGGAGCGAATGGAAACCATCTTGAAAGTCAACGGCTGAAGTGAGCGAGGCGAAAATCAGTTGGTCCAACGCTGCCAAGAGTTCGGCAATCGACGCAGGTGAACATTGATCTTATACAATTATCTTGGCATCTCGAGACGTAATTAGATCAACCATCGAGACATAGCGTACCCAATTCTCCTGTGAGCTAGATTCTTGATGTCCATATTCTCATTTGGACGAAACATACCATCTTCCGAGGCGGGGGAATTTAGGCAAAACTAGATGAGCGGACACTTCGTGTGAATGAGGAGATGGATAAACGCAGAGGTGGTTCGAACCCTTCGGCCGGATCATTCTGACGAAGCAGGACGTTACTGCGTAGACTCATGCTACAGCAGGCGATGGCCCTTTAGAACGGCAATGGTGCAGGGGTTCCCCCGCGAGCTTTCAACCTGCAACCCCCTGATGCTCCCTGAGACTGTTGCATTCTGGCGGCATGTATTACAGAGAGTGTGGGGAAGCCCCCGGACTAAACCGCATAGTGTATATCTGCGGTACCGAAGGTGACCGGCTAATTTGGGACAGACGGCTCGGCATTGAGTTGATCAAGTATATGCAGCTGGATCGCAGTGCTTACCTTGTATTGCGCCTTCGGTACACCTACATGCTGCTCGGCATCGTACCCGATCTGCGTCGTATTCTTGAGTCTTTACCGGCATGCACGCCGTACTTGATGTGCCCCGAATTATACTATCCTTACTATGTTTGGAAATGACGGCTCCTAGTTCCGCGAAAGATGCGCACGGCAATTACCAAACCTCATGAAACTTTCCCTTAATAACAAAACCAAACTTGGGAGACAACGTTCAAGATAGGCCAACAGTGAGGTAGAGCTATGAGTTGTGAACCAGCAGGACTCCTCTCAATCTAGATCCAATCTTTTCGTATGGTAGGAGGACTGATCAGCCCAAACGCGGGTCAGCAAGGCATTAACGGATAAAGGAGTCCGCCTGGCACTCTTCTCCCCTCGATCGGCAAAGACGGCAGCGGCTCGGGTGATGTGCGAGTGTTCGGGCTCGATGGCCAAAGCTCCTACATGATTCTGGTGCACTGCAATTAAGCTGGAACTGACCAACGACGATGCGAAGTCGGGCCGTGTTCGAATGTCTGTTGTATCAATGAAGAGGACGGCAGAGAGGAATTTTCAGCTATTATTTAGGGAGGCATGAACGGTTGCCAATGGAGTGATACCATATTGCTGAATGTAAATGAAGCTTCGTCCCCTCCCAGCTGGTACCTCTTCAGTCTCTATGGGGCATCTGGTTGCACAAATTTAAGACCCTAGCTAAATGTTTTATCCGAAAAGAGCTTTTTTGATCTTTGTTATCCCAAATGCCCCAGTTGGTAGTCACTCGTGTCTTCCTCTAAATCCCCTAACTTCGCCGGCATCCTAGTAATTGCCTGCAGACTAACATCCTGTGAGTCTTCCAGCAAGCGGCTTTGCCAAAATTCAGAACTACTTGTTCCGTAAGAAATTGCCTGCCTTTTAGCTGAGCCTTTTCCAGCTAGCTATCCGTGCCGCGACAACATATGGAACTAACTCGTAGAACAAGGCAAATCAACGCATATCCTCTTGAGACTCTTCCCTTTACTCGCCCTTCTCGGCATCTTCGTGCTCAATTGCGACTATGCTTACTATCTGCAGTGATGCGAGGGTCTAAAAATCGTGATGAGATGTGCTGCTATGCGGAATGGAAGGTCACTAAAGCCTTGTGTTGCCTGTGACACATTTGCCAGGGTCAAGGGGAATTCTGACATAGTATCCTAAAGCTACCAGTGTCAGGGTCATTGGTTTCCTCGGAGGATTGCCGGCCAATGCGTCTCTCCAATGGATCGATCAATGACAAATAGGAATAGGCGGAAACTTTAGGAAAGCTGTCATATTGAAAGACTGAAAATGCCAAGATCCTACTTCTGGAATTCGTCGCTGCAATGATTGAATTTGGCACTTCATCTCAACTAACTAACTGCGGGATCCTAATCCCGGTGCGCGGCTTCCGCGCTTTCCGTGGCACTTTGTAGCATTCACCCTAGGATTCACACGATCGAAGCTTTGAAATTCTCTCTCGGCTTATGAATCGAGCTGGAAGGAAATCTATCAGATGTGGGTAATGATGTAATGAAGCACAAATCATTCTAGTAAACACGGAGAACATTCTTCTCGTAGAGAGAACTATAAAACGATGAACATTCTCCTCTCTAGCCAGTACACACGATATGGAAACATCAACAGCCACACGAATTACGATCATATCTCATCCGCTAGAACATGGCAACAAAAACGCTCGTCATCGGCGGTACCGGTTTGGTTGGAGGCCATGCTGCTTTGTATCTTCGATCCAAAGGAAGCGATGTTACTATTGCCGGACGAAAAAGGCCCAGCGATGTTCCCGCATTGTCCGAGCTTCCATTCATTCAAGGCAACTATTTGAACGGGGATTTCGGTAAAGAGATCCTCTCGAAATTTGAAGCAGTTGTCTTTGCGGCCGGCAGCGACGTTCGGCATGTGCCTGTTGGACAACATGCGGATGAGCACTATCTTTATGCCAACGGCCAGGCCATACCAGAGTTCGGAAACATCGCCAAACAAGCTGGAGTCAAGAAGTTTATTCATATCGGCAGCGCCTATCCGCATATCATACCGGAGGCAATCTCATTTAGCCCATACGTCCGATCCAGGAAGCTTGCTGCGGATGGACTTACGTCGCTAGCTGGGCCTGAGTTCCACGTTTGTAGTTTAGATGCGCCCTTCATCGTTGGGAATGTTCCGGGCATGATCGTACCCATGTTTCGGGCTTACATCGACTACGCCAGAGAGAATTTGCCCATTCCTCTTTTCGCTCCGCATGGAGGGCTGAACTTCATTTCCACGCAATCGCTGTCCGAAGCCATCGCGGGGGCTTTGGAGAACAGCCAAGCTATATCAGGGAAGGCCATCTTGGTTGGCGACCAGAACATGACCTATGCGGAGTACTTCCAGATGTTCTTCCAAGCGGTCGGCAATGGTCAACGGTTGGAGTCACTGGGTCAGGATCACCCGCTGCTACCTCGAGCCACCCTATTTGCAGGTGACAAGGTGGTCGAGTATCAACCTGACCCTGCGGAACTGGCATTATTGGGAGGATACCGCCGTGATGACATCCAAAACGCAATCGAAAATTTAGTCACTGAGTATCAGTAAGCTCACATCTAACTTGGTTCCAACAATGTTGCGGGGGGAATGAGATGTATTTTCGCCGACCAAGTAGAGTGTTCAATAGAATTACAACCAATACTCCTAGTTCCCTTGTCCGCTGTAGCCTTCTTTCTCTACCTAAATAGGAGGCCAAGATGTAGTAAAGCGAACCAGAGTCAGCAGCATGATTTTCCAAAGAACGTAAAATATTACAACTAGTAGCTCGCAGTCTCATACTGGCTTCGCTGGCGGATTCGTTTGCCAAATTTAAAGAATATCCAAGGGCCTGGAAGTAGTGCCAGTGAAACGAATCCTAGAAGGCTTGTTGCCCAGCCAATACCGAGTTTTTGGTACACTACGAGGTCTCAAATTCAGCACTATGGTCTTTTCCATCAAGGGAATAGTTTGAACAAGAAACTCACTTTGTAATGAGAAGAACGGGAACGCAGCAGCAAAGGTATACCTTGCTAAGCTGTTCGCGCTGGCCGCACTTGCTACATTAGAGCGATGATATGTGTCCCCGAGGTATTGGATTGAGCTAATGGTCAATGTGATATTGCCCCAGCCAAAGATGACAATTGCGATGATTGGGACCGCAGCATTGACGTCTGGCCTAGCTGTCCAGCCGAACCAGAAAAGACTAATGGGAAGACCCAAGCTTCCCAACATGGCTGGGTAGAGCCGCAGCTCAGGGGGGATTTCGCTTGGGGAAAATTGTCTTGCCTTGGGCTGATAGATATGATGGTCGCAGAGAACCATGGTGATACATCCAAGCACGCATCCGAAAGCGATCGCTAAGAACACAAGACCCGTCTGAGTGAGAGTATAGCCATGGATTTTGTCAAAGACATAGAAGAAAGCACCGAAGAACATGAACAGTGTTCCAAACATGCATGCGACATACAAGGAGAGAATGGCCACGATCGGTTCGGTGAAGAGCATATGCAGTGGTCGAAGCAGCCCAACGGTGAGAAATTGTCGCAGTTTCTGTAAGTTCGCAGTCGACCTTGGTTCGACGAGACCAAGTTGCTTTCGGCGACGACGCAATAGAACAGGGTGATAGGACTCTCCAGATAGAAACAGCCAGATCAAAGAGAAGACTGAGAAGAACACTAGAGTGTACTGCGTCCATCGCCAGCCTTTTCTGTCAACAAGGAATGACCCCAAGACTGGACTAGATAAATCATCAGCGATATTTACTCAAGGCTCACACCTGTTCATTTTCTCTTACCCAAGGCCTGGTCCAAGAAATGGAGATAAAATGAAGATCGTTGACGGCAAGCCACGCTCAACAGGCAGATAGGTCTCATTCAGAACGCCCGAACCAATAGCCAAGACGGGCCCATAGAAGAACCCTGACAGAAATCTCATCATACATAGTCCAGAAAAACTATTGGTTAGGCCAGATCCTAATGCAAACAGCCCTCCAAAGACTACGGCAATGATGTGAACAGCTTGTCTGCCAGCTGTTTCCGACAACGGTCCGCCGAGTACAGGACCCAAGCCGAGGGCCAGAACGTATAGAGATAGCGGCAGGAATGCAGCCGTACTCGACACACCAAATTCTTCTACAAATTTTGATCGAGCTGGACTGACGATCGAGGTTCCTATTGAGCTATCAAAAGAATTAGCGACCCGGGTTGTGGGAGAGACGCCAGTTCGAGAAAGAAAAACCGGCTTACCAGGAAAATCCAACCATAGATATCATCGCCAACTGTAAATTCTTCTTCCATTTTGGCCAATTGTAGGGGTTAGACGAGTCATCTTCCCACTTCCATTCACTGGCTTCTTGCCCACTTTCTGGAGGTTTTGCTTCGCCAGAAGACTGGACGATGTTCATCGTTGTCGTGCTCTGGGATCCATCGTCAACTTGCATCTTTGACTCGGAGACAAATTGATACAGAGAGCCTCTTTGAAACTAGGTATAACTACGCTGGCCGTTTCCGTTGGTGAATTGTCAATTGAGGGTATCATCATTTCAAGTTCGTAAATAATACTAGTTCCCTAGCTTCGTTACTATCTACTTACTTGGATCGATAATATCTGTCGCTAAGTAAAATAAGCCCCAGTTGTATTTTGCCGTGAGCAAGAACCGAGTAGTGCAAATGAAATAAGGTTTATGCGGCCGTCCACAACATTCAGGGATCCGATGTAAGTATCGCCTGAGAGGCGTCTAACCCATGGCGTCTAATGCCTGTAGCTGAGCTGTCCCCTACGAAAGCTTGGCGCTCCTGTGTCGGCAGAGTGCCGGCTCACCAGCATCTGTCGACTCCGAGGCCTATCGGTACAGTAATTGACCTTCTTACTTGGGAGTGAGTGGATCTTAGGAAGATAGTCACGCCAGATAAAAGACATGAACTTACCTAGTACTTGGCACATACTACGGTATCAACGAGTCGAAGTTGAATCCTAGTGGAAGCTATGTCATCCTCTCATATTCCCAGATTAAACCAGAGATATGGTTTGTAATCAGATAGTTCGCTTAAAACATGAGATCTTTACTATGCTACTCGTTTGACTGTTGCATTTGTCAGCTGAAGGACGCGGATAGACTAACGGCTATTGTCGATGTCGAATGATTTTGAATATCAGCGCTCAAGTTTGTCCTAATGAAATCCCAAAACCTCCCAAAAGTAGACATTTTAATCATTAGATATCTAAGTCGTCTTGTAAATTTTACTTCTTTTGATACATTGTTACTTCAATCTCCAACATCTTCCGAATATCGGCGTCATGGCGCACAAGCAACCACGTGCATCTTCAGGCATCCCTTCGTTTGAATCAACCACGCTTGAAAATATCTCAGCCGCCGTGAAGGTGGTTCAAGCCACTTTCAAATCTAAGAAAACCAAAGATGTCGAGTTTCGTCTGACCCAGCTCCGAAAGCTATACTGGGGCTTGAAGGACAACATCGATCTACTTCGAGATTCTTTGAAGTGCGACTTGAACCGACCAGTTCATGATGCACACGTTTCAGATATCGATTGGAGCATCTCCGACTGCATGTTTGCGATTAAAAACCTGAAGACATGGGTCAAGGACGACAAAAATATTGACGTCGCTTTGCCGTTCTCTCTTCTTAGACCAAGGATCAGAAAGGAGCCCCTTGGCACGGTTCTCATCATCGGCACTTACAACTTTCCCGTGCAGCTCAATATCTGCCCCCTCATTGGCGCAATAGCTGCAGGTTGTACCGCAGTTGTAAAGCCCTCCGAAAATGCTCCAGCGACTGCCATGGTCCTCACTCGTATCATCGAGGGCTATCTGGATCCTGACTCGTACAGGATCGTCAATGGCGCTATTCCAGAGACGACTGCTCTGCTCAATGAGAAGTGGAACAAGATTCTCTACACAGGTGGAGTCAACGTGGCCAAGATCATCTCTAAGAAAGCTGCAGAAACACTTACTCCGGTTTGTCTGGAGCTCGGTGGCAAGAATCCGGCATTCGTGACGAGTCACGCAGATCTCCGTCTTGCTGCAAGGAGGCTTCTGTGGGGGAAGACGCTCAATGCCGGGCAAGTGTGTGTCTCGCACAACTACGTCCTAATTGAGAGAGCCCTGGTCAAACCTTTCATCAAGTTTCTCCAAGAATCCTATATCGACTTCTTCCCGAAAGGCGCGAGAGAAAGCCCCGATTTCTGCCGCATTATCAATACTCAACACTTCGATCGCATGAAGAGGATGCTAGACAGCTCGCGTGGTCAAGTTGTCTTAGGTGGAGAAACAGACCGTGATGATCTTTACATTGCTCCGACAGCAGTTCTCGTGGAGAGCGGGGATGATGTTATGGTTCAGGAGGAATCATTCGGGCCCATTTGGGCCATTTTACCCTATGACAACATCGACGATGCGATTGCGGTGGCGAATGCGACCGATTCTACTCCCCTTGCCCTCATGGCTTTTGGTAGCCAGGCTGAAAACGAGAAAGGTATGAGAACCGATAGTATAGACACCCCTCGTGATTGATGCTAATACTTGAGTTACAACAAAGTTCTTTCTGGTGTTACATCTGGCGGCGCAACTCTCAACGACGCCTTCATGCATGCCGCAGTTCACACTTTCCCCTTTGGGGGCGTGGGATACTCTGGTCACGGATCTTACCGCGGCAAAGCTTCCTTTGACTGCTTCACGCATCGTCGCACTGTCGCCGAGACCCCTGGTTGGGCTGACAAGATTTTCCGCGTTCGCTACATGCCATACCTGGAGTCAGAGCTGAGAATGTCCCAATGGCTGGGCGACGTGAAGCCTGATTTCGACCGCGATGGAAGGCAAATCTTTGGGCTCAAGTCTTTGGTGGAGTCTGTTCTTCGGGTCGGCAGTGACTCGGGAACCGGTGCGCTCTTCCGCTGGACTATCATTGGGGTTGGTAGTTGGTTGCTGTACGGCCGTTCATGGGTTTGAGGTACCTAATTTGGGAATGGATCATTGAGTCCCTTGGCTCTTGGCCGGCTAGTAGAAGTTGTACTTGAGAGACATTAACCTTTCGCATTCGCTTTGTGCCAACTTCGTCCTAGTATGTTCTGAAGGCCTCCGTTACGACAGGACATCTATTTGTCTTGTGATACCTTACACCAAATCGCAGGCTCACTACATTCAGGTTTACTATTGCGCAGGCCGAAATTTCTTTGCGTGATTCCTAGAAAAATCGCTCGGTCTTTTACCATATATAGGTTGTAATTCTAACTCATGTTGAGACCTGATTATTCCTTGAATTGGGCATATGGTCAAACAAACGTATGACTTGGGACGGCGTCATAGGAAATGAGGTGTACTCATCCATACGTGTAACTTTTGGCCGGTCACACCAGCTCAGTTGCAGCGTTGGTATCGTACCGAAATATATCTGCCGCGTGGCATTGCCGAAGACAGCTTATAAATCCAACAAACCTCTTCAGCATTGGCTGTTGTGAACACACAGAGGTACTTGGGAAATAGTCTGGACTCTAAGGACTCCAAGGACTCCCATGCGCCTACGGGATGTGGGCGGTCTGGAATAAGGTTGGCTGCCTACCTACCTGGCGACACAAGGATGGCGACACCGCTGATAACTGGATGTGTACAAGATAAGCAAGCGAGTGAGGCCAGATAAAGTTTGCTTAGACTGCATCATTAAACGGCTGGGCTAGCGGGCCGGGGCGCTTCAACCCCCCGGCCATCTGCAGCCGAGACTACGGCGTCCCGGGGTGACCTCCCTCTAACTTCTTCTTTCAGAAGTTCGGGGCTTATTTCGATACCGAGCGGCCTTCACGCCGTCCGCTGACGAATACATGCAACTTCGGCGATGACGGTGAGGCCTGGGCAAGAGCTGCACCCTCGTTGCGTAAGTCGGCATCCCTTTCCATTAGCTAAACCTGGAACATGACAATCGCACTGCTAAAGGGAGGGATTGGGCAATTACTCATTTCGCAACAGCCGTAACCCAGCCTTGGCCCTCACATCATCGCACGGCCATGTATCTTAAACGAGTGTAAAAAGATACGGGCTTGAAGACCGTCTATATTGGACTCGGGGCTATAAGAACTGTTTAAGCCTCTAACACCAAACATGTGCGTGCATGACCTTAGTCCTTTAAGTCGAGTCTTTCTTAGTATCTTACATCAATTTACCTATATCGACACATACTGGTCCTCCTCTCCTATCTACGACACTATGGGATCTTTACCACTTAACCCTGATGTCCTCGTCGTCGGCGCAGGTCCTGTGGGGCTTTTTGCTGCCTTACGTCTGGCCAAAGCAGGTGTTAGCGTCACCATACTCGAGAAAGACAGCGGTCTCTCCCAGCTTCCTCGGGCTTGTATGTTTTACCCTCAACCTCAGTTCGCTTTGGCAGAAGCCGGCATTTGGGATGCCATCATCAAGGGCGGCGGGTTTCGAAGTACTGGCCTTGACATCCGTCTGCCTCCCACTTCTAATGAGGAAGGCGGAAAGAAACCTGGAAAGGTTGTTGGATCATTCCCGAAAGACCCGAAGCATGACCCAAGTGGCCCGCCAGTCAGACCCCCAGCAATCAGCATGCTTAACATGGCGCAACCTGAGCTCACCAAAGTCTTGATGGAAAAGGCGACTGAGACAGGACGTGTCCAAGTCCTCTTCAATAAAGAGCTGGTTTCGATCCTCAACGACGGCTCCAACGGATCCGAAACCGTTACGATAGCAGTCAAAGATCTCAATACCGGGCAAATCGAGGAGCATTTTGCTTCATTTCTTGTGGGTTCAGATGGAGGCAGATCCAAAACTAGGTCCCTACTTGGCATCTCCTTTCCTGGACACACCTGGCCTGAGAAGCTCATTGCGACAGATGTCTGGTTGAAAAACACTGCAGATAGCCCCGTCACGACAACCCTTTTGATGGAGCCGGTGCATTACACCATCATCACCCCTCTTACACCTCCCGTGAAAGGCGAGGTGACGAAGTGGAGACTCACTTTCGCGGTTGATCCCGAAGAGCTCAAGACCAAGACCGAGAAAGACCTTCTCTCAGAAGAATACATTTCACGCCATTACGAGCGCGCTTGGGCCGGACCACGACCCTTGACATACAAGATCGATAGAGCAGCGACGTACACCATTCATCAACGCCTGGCCTCTAACCTGAGGCGAGGGAGGTGTCTCTTAGCTGGCGACGCCGCACACGTGAACAATGTAGGAGATGATGAGGCATGACAAACATTCGAGCAGGTCTAGTAGAGCTAATTTTGATGATATAGGTTATTGGTGGATTGGGTCTGAGCAACTGTCTAATGGAATCCGTTGCTCTCAGCGACGCCCTTATCTTGATCCTCAAGGAGGGGAAACCTGTCGACCCGGTACTGACTATGTACTCGGATGAGCGACGTCAAGTCTTCCAATTCTTCATTGATCCTGTATCTTCCTGGGTAAGATCTCTGCATTGGCAGCATTATTCATAATTCACATTCCCCTCAGAGTCAAAAGAAGAAAGAGGTGCTGACAAGTCCCATGAACAGAGCAAGCTAAGAATTCAGGCAGGCGAGCAAGACGATTGGTTCTTCCGCTGTTTGAGTGATACTTCAAGCCCATCATTTGCACGATGGGTTGACATGATGGAAAATTTCTGGCCGACAAGAATAAGAGAGATGGCCAAAGCAGTCTGATAGGTCTCAAGCTGCTTAGTTGTCGGCCGTTGCGACTCAAGCCATTCTTCTTGCACTCAGTCTGTATCCTGGTTTATCGTGCATCGCATCGCATTAAGCCACAATCACGCGAAATTGCAACATCCAGCAGCACGTGTGTATGCTGCATATTGTACTGAAATTGCTCCAGATCTACTTGTGGAATGCCATCTGTGATAGTCGGACCTATTGCATCATCTTAGGAAGGAAGAGAAGTTTCGAATTTGGCTGGAATCATGTACTCCTGACACTTATCTTGGAGTGCTAATCCTTGATGAGTGAACGATTGATCTTGAAGGAGCTGTTTTAAGACGGTCTGGCGAAATGGCTGTTGAGGACCAACAATTCGACGATGTATCATCCAAATTACCCAATCGCACGGGGGCATGGAGCGAGTCTTGCTACCACTTGGTGTGCGTGGCTTTGCACTTGGATTTTTGAACTTCGGGCATGAATGGGGTGTGAGGTTCGTCGCCATCCGGGCGCGCCCCTGAGCGGATAGATCGAACTTCCGGCCTGTAGTCTTGACAAATGCGTGATCTTTCCCAAGCAATTTAAGTATCAAATTTAGTGGCATTCCGGCCAAGAGTCAGACAGTTGTCATTTTTTTACTCCTAAGTTCATTCTAGGCATAGTTTGCTATCGTAAGCGTGCCCGACCCGCGCGGGTAATGATCACGCACGCAGTACGGCTCAACGGCGCAGGCCCGCCCCGTAGTCCGGCCGGCCGCTGTGCCGCACTTCAGCGGCGACTCAATCGGGTCCGATTAGGCAGCTGGGCCTCATTCTGGAGGACAAGCAATAAAGAACCGAAAAACGTCGAAAGAAAGAACACGTATATCTATGCGGTGTTCTCGTGTTTCTTTTCACCCAGATTGATCATTCTCATCTCACATCTCATTCCATCACTTCTCTATACCTCATAGAAGACATTGTCAGCTACCTTATCACACCACTTTCACCATGTCTACGCCGGTCAAAAGCCAGCTTCATCTCGTGCTGTACCGAGGATTCCCAATTTCCAATTCCTATGTCTGGTCACCTTTCGTCACGAAGCTTGAAGCGCGCCTTCGATTCGCTAAGCTCCGGTTTCGCATCGACCAAGGTTCAATGAGCAAGTCACCCCGTGGTAAAATACCATACATTGAGATCGCCCAACTCAATCAAGATCAGCCGATCACTTTGAGTGACACCAGTCTCATCATCCAACGACTCATCGATGAAGATGTTTGTCCAGACCTCAACGAGCCACTTTCACCAATCGCCAGAGCCCAAGACGCTGCCATCCGCGCCCTTCTCGAGGACAAGCTAGCCTTCTACCAGGTAAGTACAGATGACTGTCTGAGCTATTCCCAATATACTCACAAATACTCACAAATACTTACTCACTTGTATAACAGAGCGCAGAGAGATGGCAAGACAACTACGAAACCATGCGATCAGGTGTAATGAATGCGATCCCGTGGCCAATACAGAATCTCATTGGTCTCCTTGCCTACCGTGGTGTCACTCGGACCCTCTACGGCCAAGGCACTGGCCGTTTCTCTAGTGAAGAGCTTGCAGAATTCCGGCGGGATGTTTGGGGACATGTTAATGCGCTCTTGAGTGAGACTCGGCTCACAGCTCCTGATCTTCAGACACCTTTCTGGGTGTTGGGCGGCAAAAGTCCTTCTGAGGCGGATGCAACCGTCTTTGGCTTCATTGCATCAGGTTTGGGATGTGCAGCGTAGGTCACCTTATCTAGTGCGGTTGCATACCCGGAGAAGAAGCTAATAATCTTGGTGACAGGGCACCAGATAGCAAAGGGATCATAAAGAGTTACCCTGTCTTGGTCGATTATGCGGAGCGAATCCATTACGTTTACTTCGAGGACTACGCTTTGTGGGAAGAAGATGCGTGAGGAATCTATAGTGGAACGAAGCTTTGGAGAGCAAGTATCACTCATGACAAAACCGGCATATCAATTGATTCGCTAAAGTAGTCAATTCTTCTGATGTGGATTAATTCATCAATAAGACAAAGGCTGTATCTTCAACTAGCTTAAACACTGCCGTCTCTGCAGAAGGTCGTAGTCGAAAATTGGTCCGCACAGCAATCGGTGTAGGCTTGACGATCAGCTGGCTCGCATTCATAGCCATCTATCACCTGTTAATTGAATGTACAAGGTTTTGGAATAGGCATAGCATACTCCACTTCTGAATATCCGGGCAGCAAGTAATTGATGCAGTCGTACTGCGATCGCACGAGCAAAGAATGGCTTGCGACACACCGATGAACGGGCTGTTGTTGAGTTTGAGGTTAGAAGAGCTCACATGGAAGGTACACACACGGACGCAACACTTACACGATAGCGAGGAGGAGTTGAGTGAACTGCATCTTGATCCCGAGGACTGTAGAGATAGCTTGAACGTGAATAGGTCAAGAATGACTTTGGCCCAGGAGGAAACGATCGTCGTACTTATATGAGTGAATGAGTCGGCTCCCGGGTTCCCTCACATGACAGGACCAGCTTCCCCAGAGCGAGCAGTTTCCATTCCAGGAGTTAAGGTTATGGCTAAACACATGCGGGGCATAACAAGGCGCTGTCCTTCCACTTCGGGAAGCGTCCGCCGGTAGAATAGATTGACGGGACCCACCCCGGACCGGAGCATGCCACACAAAGAGCCATGATCGATACGTCGCCTCCGAGTCTGGCAGGAATGAACAGTGATCCGATCACCAAAGACTATAAGACCACAGATAAGCACTCAAAAATCTGCCCCTGAGTTGACAGGTCAAGAAACAACGTGGATCGATAAGAGTCGAGGGTTCCCAATTCCGCACAGACGCAGTATTCCTCCCTGCCCCTATGCTTTGTTCATTGAACTAAGTAAATACCCAGGGTATACCCAAGTAGGTACGAAGCCATCACAATACTCATACAGCCTTGCTCCTTTAAGTGCTGCCAATTCAAATTTCAGTGACATGGATACGATTGGACTGAATGAGCATGTAACTATTCGAAGGAAAATGGTGCGTAGACGAAAGAGTAACAAATCGCCACGGGAAGGATCCACAAAGTCATCACATATCTCAAGCTGATCTACCTAATGACAGGAAACCACCGTTCAGAGTAACATTGGTAGCCTTACCAGATGCATCAATGGTGAAAACCACTCGAACGTCCACACTTGACCCCAGAGAGTCAACGTCCTGCCAAGTAATACAGGTCGGCGTGCCCATGTCGACTGGAGCGCTCTTGTCCTGGAAAACCGCCACAAACTGGTGTTGAGTATTCGAACCAACGTTGCTTGGATACAAACGGAAGTCCAGGTCCTCCAACTTGATGCCTGAAGCATTCGCAATCTGGGCACGGAGGTCATTCTCTCCAGCTTTTAAGGTCGAGACAAGCAGCCCAGGCCCGTCGCGCGAGGTGTTGAAAGCGGCAACGCCCCCAGGTCCTTCAAAGATGCCAACATATCGCGCCGTCGCCTCAGTAGCGGCGAGCTCTTGGAGCTTTACAATCGCCAGAGAGACGATGTCGGCGTAAACATTTAGATCCGGACCGCGGGTTGCTTCAGTATCGTGCGCGAGGATCGCGAACCCAGCGTTGAAGTCAGGGGCTAGGCCAAAGTAGCTCGCGTAGTGTCCAATCAGACCAGTCTTGGTGAAGACATCGAGAACGGAGCTGTTCGCATATTGACCAGCGTGATAAATCTCCCAAGGCCTACCGACGCCGTTGCGAAGGTTTGATGTGTCGGCAACGGGCTGCAGCCAGCGGCGAGTGGTGGCTGGTGGTATGAGAAGAGAGCTTAGCATGGCGTGGCCTGCACGCGCAAGATCCGAGGAGGAGGAAATCATTGAGAGTGCGCTGCCAGGAGTTAGTCTTGAGCGACTAAGACGTAGAAAAGATGTAGTGTGGAATACATACGCTGGTTCGCCGGTAGCTGAAACGTTCAGATCTCGAGCAAACACCTTAGCATCCTGTAGTGATGATAGAAGGCCGCTGTTCGTCATGTTGAGAGGTTCAAACACACCAGTCGCGAGAATGCTGTCGAATGTCGTGTTTTCACTACCTTCAACTTTGTTTGCCTCCAATGCCAGGGCGAGGAGCTGGAAAGCAGCGTTTGAGATAATGGGCGTAGTGTCAGGTAGGAAAAGTGGCGGTTGACTACCGAAATTGTCGATGAACTCATCGCGACCGCAATACTTGCTCAAAACACAAGTGTAAGCTAAGAAGAAGCGATTAGTGTCTATGTGTATGCTTTGAGACATTCTTAGCAAACTCACATTCTCTCGCCAGCCCAGACATCTGACCTGCCAGTGACCCGACAGTGATATCATCCCACTGAACTTTCATCTCCCCTGTAGAAACATGCTTGAGCTCTGGCAGAAACTCTGTGATGGGCTTTCCCCATTGCTCGTCTCCAACCTCGACAAGCCATGCGTAGACGGTGAATAGTTGGGTTAGAGTACCCAGAGGAAACACCGTGTTGGAATCCAGTGTCGAGTTCTGCGGGGCTTCGGGGGCTGCGTAATGATACTCAAAAAACACGGGATCCTCTTCTGCCCCATCTGAGCCCGAGAACAAGACCACTGAAAAAGAAGTGGTGTTGGGTGCGATCTCACCAAAGTCTTCGGAGCCGCCCGCTTTCACAAGCTGGTCGAACAACCCCGTAAAGCTTTTGGTGAAGGATTTGACAGCTTCAGCGTTCTTGTCGATGGTCGGCATATGATAGTAAGCTTTCAAGAGAGGGCATGGCTGATAAACTGGGTTTCCTGCAAGAGTTATCGGAAGAAAATACAATGAAGCCACTGCCGAAGCAACAGACAATATGTTTTGACGCATGATGAGGGAATGATGTAGATGATGCACGTATTATATGAGGCACGAAGCTGTTTCGGTATGAGATGGCGATGATGGATTTCGACCCCATCTCCACAGCGGACTTCAGATTTGTTATATACCATTCTTCAATGCCTCTCGTCCGCTGTCCTTGTTGCAGCAGGTAGACTATTACCAACTCGACTACGGACACGGAGGCCGCGCACGCAGCACGTCTCTAGCCTACCGATTTCAGGCAGTATTGTTGAAGCAACGACTGAAGATACACCGATCCTCTATTCAAGATCACGTGGACTGACTGACACTAGTTTTCTTCCGCCTGCAAGAATGCTGCTCGCTCCGACAGTCATTAATTCCGACAGCTAAAAGGGGTAGGATGTCCAAAATCCGACTCCGAGTCCGTGTCCGACCCCGCCACAACCGTGGACTCAAAGCCATTAAATTGCTGCCGCTTCCTCGCATTTTCAATAGGATCGCACTAAAACTGCGCTCCGCCACTGTGTTCGTTGCCCATACCATTGCCCCAGCCTCTGAAAGGAATGAAAGAATCTGGTAAGAAAGAGAGGGTATCCATGACGAAATCGGGGTTCGAGACTAGTGTGGCGGTGTTGGCCATTGAAAAGTCCGGGTACGCGACATTTCCCGCCGACGGCACCATGTTCTGCGAGAATATGGAAGACGCGACTGTGTAATCTAGGCTTGCGTTTTGATTCGAAAAATCCGAGCTTGGTGTTCCCATGGTCGTAAACCCTGCAGTAGACGTTGGCAGGCTGGCATGGATACTATGGGGCGAAATTTCTTGCTGCTGGGCTTGTGCTTGTTGCTGAGCAGCAGCCTGACTCTGAGCATGGAGGTAAAACTTCTCGACCCGTTTTGCACGAATCGCAAAGTGGTAGAAACTGTCGCGGTCGCCTCTGTCATCAAGGTCTGGTGAGCTTGCAGCGTCGAGCCTGAGCACGACCTGGCGAATGGTGTGTGCAATGTCTGCAAACTGCCTCAAGTGCTCCGCCATGAACCCTACCCGGGGATCCGCAGCTAGCAGATCCAGCCGTGCGGCTAGAGTGAAGCCACAATGCAGCATTACCCAGACTATGTTTGGGAAGTAGACCTCTTGTCCATGAGGTGTATGGAGGAGGACGCTAACGAGCGATTTGGCCGATACTATGCTCTCGGATAAACCTGCGATGAACCGCTGCATTGGGGCGTTTTGCGGGTTGTTGAGACCAAACGGTGTCTCTGGTAGAGACAGCTGGTTCAGGCAGAGCTGGATTGTGTGTAATTGGGGCACCAAGATTGCTACGATGAATGGTTAGGAGTCTACTCGGGCTTGTATACACGGGCATTCAACTTACGACAATCGCCAAGAGCGAAGGTCAGCCCGCTCTTAAACACGTCGACCCTTTCCTTAGCTTCTGATACCGCAGCTTGAATCTGCATAGGATCTAATGTCGACTCGTTCTTCACAATGTCATCAATGTCTTCGGCTAACCGCTGTAGGCTGATGATGTACGGAAGGTACTGATCAGTGGGGTACTCAGAGATCTCCGCTAGCTTCTCAGCAGTTTCGGTGATGTAACTCGAAAGAGTAACTATGCGAAGCTTCTGAAGCACGATACTCGTGCTACGAGGGTTTGAATATTAGCTGGGGGCCCAGCATCACAGCCTGCGGGAACCGTCGACTTGACAGACATACCAAGATGAGAGATAATACGTCCCAAGAAACGTCCTACGTTCATCTAAAGAGTCGACATAGTCTTGTGAAGTGCTCATGCCCTCAACGTTCCAACGTTTCGGGTTCTTTGGCCTATCGAAACGCAGATCAGACACTATGCTCGTAGCTAGATGAAGATGCTGTGAGTATCTCTTCGGCCTTGGTTGGAAGTGGGCCCTGTGACGAGGTTAGTGCCAGGGACATGGAGGGTTAGTGTGGATTCGCATTACCAGGCGAGATGGACGAGGAGGCCCTGGAGTACGTCAAGGCAGGCAAAATCACCCTTCACCAAGCGGACCGCGATGAGGTCGTTAAACATCTGACCCAGTGCTCGCTGCAGGCGGACATCATCGTATGACGAAACAGCGAGAAGGCCGAGCAGCAAGGCTGGCCTTGACTGCCTCAAAGAGCTCACATTTTCTGATGCTGGGATGATGATGAATGGAAAATGAGGTGTCAACTTGGTACGAAACCTCTCAAGGAGCTCCTGGCCTTTGTCGATAGAAAGCTGGCCGGCCTCGAATGGGTCATGAACGCCGGTGCCAAGGCTACGACCGGCTGGACCGGCATCACCGGCTCGGGGATGTTGAGTGGATGAACTGCCAGACGAGGCAGCAAGCTGCGGAGGAGTCCGGGTTTGATCGGGCGTAAGGCTTTCAGAGGCGGAAGGACTTTCGGTCACAGGTTGGGCGGGTTGGGCCGGCCTCTCCGGAACCTGCAACTTGTTGGACCTTTTGCGCCGTCTCTCGCGTCAGTTTTCGGCGGCAACCACCCGACGTTGGACAAGGAAACTTGTGAGAACTACCTGGAACGCGGCCCGGGCGGCTTCCTCCCGCGGGCCACAGCATACGTGCAATCTTTGCCCAGCCGGAGGCATCTATCGCAGACGTTGGAGTCCTGGGAACGATCGCACTTGATTTTGGCGTGGGCGCATGTACGACACGTCTTCAAAAGCGGGGTTGGACTGCGTTGGCGAGACTCCATGACGCAGACGCACAACGGGATACGTGCTGACGGAGGGGCGGCGGCGGCGGCGGCGCAACACGGAGGAGGGGAAAGGGAAGGGAAGGGGGCTAGGCGGTTCGGAGTCCTCGGTGTGGTTAGCCAAACGGTCATGGAAGAAGCAGCATCGCTACGGACACGGGGTGAAAAGAATTGATTTGGCGTACGGACACGGGGTCGATGAGTCGGGGGGGCCAGAGAGACATTAATCTGTTCCCAGCGAGATTGCGGACGGGGTCGACGCCGCCGACACAGCCGAGTGTTTAATGTCCGATCCAACGGTGCAGGGGTCTGCGGTGGCTTAGATTCTCGAGCTAGGCCAGACTAACGCTCCATCACTAAACTCTGAGAGGAACGCGATCCACTAAATCAAGGCTGATCAACTGCACGGAAGCCTTTTTACCGCGGTGTGATGAGGCTAGCAGGTCGCCTTCTTGTCGATTCAATGATTGCTGGGCCAGTCAGAGAGCAGCTCACATCACCAGCGCAATCGCAACGTCGCATTGAAGAAGCGGAAGGATGCAGTAGCAGGGAAGTCTTATTGCCAGCCGTGCCAGCCAACCCCGAAGCTCTTGAAAGGCTTGATGGAATTGTCTAAGCTCTGGGTCACCGCCAGTCAACACACCGCAAGGTACCTTACGAGGTAGGATCACAAGCATCTCATAATGTGAACTATTTCTCAGATCATCAAGCTTGCCCAGGAATTGGGCGGAAGTGGATAAAAAGGATGTTCGTGCACGTCGCAAATGAGATGCGATACTTGATATTCGATCGTGCTAGAAAGCCAGTCGTACATCTGAAGTGACGTAAATTGTCAGCTGCCGTGTTTGAGAAGACCTCTGAGTGGAATCCGCAGCACGTCCCAGAGCTCGGAACTTTTCTTTCTTTCTTTTTCTCTTTTTGTTTTTCGAACAAAGTGGCACACGATTGAACATCGTAGGCTCTTTTGTCTAATTATTACACCATCGAAAAAGACGATGCTGTTTCATGTATCATTGTACTGGCTTGCTTACGGTTACGCCAGAAAAAACCGGCCGAGGCCATTAATTATTGCTGGTCAACGTTGATTCAAGCATTGCTTCGATCCGACAGCATCAACACGTAGCCCAATTAATAGATATAAGCCCAGACAAGTGTCCTTTTTGCGAAGTCATTCCCAAAAAACGGTCACGCCAAGAATAAGATCACCACTTTGCATCGTACCACAGCAGTGTCTTAAGTTGCTACCCACGACACAGGATGGATCCACTGACAGCCGTCGGGCTGATGGCAAACATTTTGACCTTTGTCGATTTTGGCCTTAAAGGCCTTAACGAAGCCAAAATAGTCTACAAATCCTCATCAGGTCTCACTGAAGAAGCTGCCAACCTGTAGAGATTTGCTGAGCAAATGTGTCGTTTCGCGAACAATCTCCAGACCCCGGAGCCCATGAAACTCGATGACGGCGAGAAGGTCCTCTGCGCATTAGCAAAAGACTGCTGCAAAGTTTGTGGGGATATTCTTACGCTCATTGATGGCATACGATCCAAAAAGCCGTTTTCCGGAATACATGCAATCAAGTCGTTTGAAAGGCGTAAAATATCAAAGTGATTTGAGATGATTACAATTCAAACTCAACTCCTGCCAGAGCCAAATCGGTCCTCAACTCACGTATATCACAAGGTTTGTCATCCCTTCTGCATGTACACATAGACAATTCACCTCTGCTAAATTTTATGAATAGTGAAAGAATCGTCTCAAGACTCAACATCTTGGTAGGAAACGAAAAAGACAGCGTTTCTCGGCTGCAAGAGATCAAAGGCTCTATCGAGAGTCTACAAACTATTAGCGACGTCTGCAGCCTGCGAGACTCTATCAAAGGCGATATTCAGAAGCTTTTACTCATACCCCAACGTTCGCTTAAACACCTTGCTCAGAGGTCTATTCTCAGAGCACTTGAATTCGACACCATGTACTACTGCTATGACACGATTTGCGACGCGCATGAAAAGACGTTTCGGTGGATATTGGCCGATGATTTTGAGGAAAAATGTAACGTCGACTGCCCGAATGGTCGCCCAAATGAGCTTTATCCGACAGCGGGACTGAAATGATGAAGGAAACGAACCTCAAGGTCGACGCTACTTCCGCTCTGGCGGAAGACAACGCGCTTGTGATCTGTACAGGAGTTGACGGGGATGACTTCCCACTGCTTGCCAGAGAAGTCTCACATGGCCCATATCAAATTCCGTCATCAAAATGCTTTGCCACTTGCGAAGAGCGCCGACACATCCGACAGAAGCTTACGCGGTGGCTATCTTCAGGCAGCGGGGTGTTCCACTTCTCGGCTAAGCTCGGAGCTTGCAAGTCGACTGTGATGAAGATGATAACCAACCATGATGAGAGCCGAAAGCGGCTTGATACTTGGGCAGGTGAGTTGTCCTTTCTCAAAGGCTTGAACGGAATAGCAATCTGACAAGGATATCTGCAGGCGATAAGACTCTGATTTGTGCCAAGTTCTTCTTCTGGAACTCTGGGAGCGAGCGGCAAAGGTCCATCTCCGGTTTATATCTCGGGCTGCTCCATGAAGTTCTCTCAGCTCATCCTGATCTCACACCCCATGACCTTCCCTCGTTCTGGGAGACGGTGTACACATCCTCTTGGCCGGCCGGTGAACGAATGCACATTTCGCCATCCCAAGCCTTACAAGGTCTTGACCGACTCTTTCGAGGGAGCGACATAAGTCAGAACTACCGCTTTTGCCTTTTCATCGACGGCCTAGGCGAGCTTCACGAAACGACAGAATGCTCGTATTCTGATCTGACTGAGATGATCTACCGCTGGTCTTCCCTTACATCTCGACTTACAAGTTACGATTAAGATAGATCGCATGGAATCGATGCTTTGCAAGTTCGATGATAACAAACAAAGCCTAGGAAATGGATCCAGCACATATTTCAGTGACGTACCCGCATTGAAAGATTGGTGTTTTAGCCTACGCCCACGACAGATCATTGAGCTGTGGTCTTTCGAGAACAAAGCCCGGCTTCTTCACCTACTGGATGAGATAAATGGCAAGCCAGAAGCCAAGCTTCAAAGAGGAGAAGAGGCAATCAACGAAGATGAGCCTCGGTCCCTACCCTTAGGCGAGAACCGGAATACTGGGCATGAAGCGGTCAACGACGGAATCGGTGTGGCACTTGAGCATCTGGGAAAGCGAGCCATTGTGCCGAGACTATTCGCGCATGTTTTCATCGTTCGTTTCGCTGCCACGCTGGTCTCAGGTAAGTACTTGACTCCTCGAGTCTCGCGGTAGTCCCTTCGCCAGAATGTTGCTAACAACACTGCAGTATGGCTTCTGAGCCAGCTCTCTGAACTCGCTTTGAGACAGATTCATGCTTGAGGCGGAATTTTGCAGAGAGTTTGGAGTTTGGCGATAGGTTTGTATTTGCAAGAGGTTCTCACGAAGTCCAGTATTAATTGACATCGTCGGGACCAGCTCCCAGGGTCTTCTTCACAGAGAAATGTTGGGAGCCGCGTCTTGTTTGCGTTGAATCTTGAATGTTAGAAGGGTGTAGTTTGAAGTGAATCCATTTGTGAAATTTATGTGCGCCTTGCAATGCCTCGTTCCCGGAAGGTATTTATCTAACCGTACTCGCACGAACCCATGGTCAAGAAACTACCGACGCAGAAGTCATGGCTCAGGAGCAAACTGGGAACCTTCCAAATACCTTCAAACGGAAAGGGAAATATCATGACAAGCCAGAAAGCTCCTCAAAATCAAATCCCTTGAATCCATCCTCAACAGCCCACGCCCTTCCCTTCTCTCGCTCATACAACGCCTCACATGCTCTACCCACAACAAGAAGCCCAGGCGGCCTGCTCCCCTCAGCCTCAATGGCTTCAGCAACATACCCCAACGTCGTCCGAATCACCCTCTGGTCAGGGCAACTCGCCCGCTCAATAACAGCACACGGCGTATCCCTCGGCCACAGCGCCCTCTTCGGTGTGCTCTTCTCCTCCCCTTCGCGCGCAGCAACTTCCGAGTCGAGGTGAGTCGTCAACTCCCCAACCAATCCCGTAATCCGATGCAAAGCCATCAAAAACACAACCGTACGGCTGGGGATATACTCTGGCGGCGTCGGCGCCTTGCCCTTCTTCCCTGTGCCGGTACACACAAGGACCTGATCCGCGACATCCCTCTGCGTAGGCGGAATTCCCGCAAACAAAGGCGCGCTCAACGACGATGTGATGCCCGGTAGCACCGTCACCCGCTCCCCGAACCCGTGCTCTCTGAAATACGCCACCTCCTCTCCTCCGCGGCCGTAGATGAAGGGATCGCCTTGCTTTAGCCTCAACACCGTCTTGCCCTCCTTTGCGCCCGCCAGCGCGAGCTCGTGGAGTTCTTCTTGGGCTTGGTCTGCGTTGCCTGGGAACTTGCGCGCAATCTTGACTGGGGTGCGGCGCGGGATAAGGTCCAGCACGCCTGCGGGGACGAGTTTGTCTGCGAGGATGAGGTCTGCTGTCTGGATCGCCTTGTGGGTTGCACGGGTCAGGAGGTCTGGGTGTCCTGGGCCGCTGCCCGCGAGGATGATTCTCCCCTGCTGCTGCGGGCGTGCTGCACCACCTGCTGCGATGACTGGTGGTGGTCTCGCCTCTTCTGGTGGGTTTCCGAAACCAGAGTACGACTTCAGTACAGACTCGACGTCCTCGTCGTTGATGGCGGCGAGCCGCTTCAGGGGCCAGTACTCGCATACCTGACTCAGCCACCTCATGCGCCGGTTCTTTGCCGCGTCGAGATCTGCCTCGGTGACGAGTTTGTTGAATGATGCCGTCTGGTCGAACGAATCGTCGACCTCGTCTGCCGCGAGACGGTCTTCCGTTTGGATGCGCCTGCGAACATCGCCTAGTCTCGCGCAGGCGGCACCTAGATCCCGGGGAAGCGCGGCGGCGACTTCGCGCCGGATGCGGGAGGCGAGCTTACAGCCGCGCCCGTTTGTCGTAACGCCAATTTGTAGAGGTCCGTCGGTATGTGTTGATAGAAGTGAGAACGAGCAAAGCTGCGGCGCGTCGACTACATTGATGGGAATACGATGCCGTCTACACAGCGCTGAAATTTGAGCTGCTTGCGGGGAGGAAGAAGATGTGACGAAGACGGCGTCAACGACGTTATCGACCTCGTCGCGACCTAGAGTGAAGAGGTCTGTGTCGGCAAAGGCTTTCCTGTGCCATGCCACCTCGCCGGCGTCGATGCGCTTCTGGAGGCCGTAGTGGAGGTCTTGTGTGTCTGGGGCGATGAGGATCGGGGTTGCGCCGGCGTTGATGGTTTGTGTGCAGCGGGCTGCGGCAAGGGGATTTGTGCCGATGATGAGATGTGTGTTGCCCTTGCAGTTGAGGGATGTGAGGAGTGATGTTGTTGTCGCCATCTTGGGCTGTGTGAGTGAAGACGATGAGTCTTCTTCTTCTTGCTGCTTCTTTTTCTCTCGAGTTCAAGTACACGATCCCCGTCTCTCCAGATGGTCGAGTGAGGGTCGTCTAAGTGGAGTATGCGACAGAGGTCGTAGTTGAAGAACCAACAGTCCAAGTGAGACCAAATGGACGAGAAATGAATCGAGAACGAGTAGCAGAATCAACAAAGTCTCATAACTCTGAAGTCAAATAGAGAAATAAAGCATTGATATGAATTACTCACTCATTGTCCTCCCCCAAGATTTGAGTGAAGCTAACTAATAAGGTAATCTGCCAAAGCCCGAAGACGGCCGGGGACCCGTGGGACCCAATCATGCGGCGGGCAAAAAACGTTGGTTGGCCAAATTTTCATTCGCTGGCGATGACACCATCCCGACAGCCGTCCGCCCCAGTGGCCCCAATCCCCTTATCGGCGCACCACCCGCACCGTGACCACCGCAAACGCGCTGGAGGCCCAGGGCGATGGCGTGACCAATCAGCGGCATTAGTGACCGACTCCCGCGGAGCCGTCGCCGGAGATCCTTCAGTTACCGTCCCTCCTTCGACCTGTGCTCGCCGATGCATCTCCGGTGTCGAACACCATGTCCGCCACTTTTGGGTTAGACATCAGATAAACATTGCACTTTGCATGCTTGGCTTCACAGAACTGTTGTCAAATCATTGAGTTGTGGTATTGTAACATGATGTGGTTAGCTCATCCTCTGAGCTATGTGCCTTAGTAAGGTACCTCAAGGCAAGGCAGACCGTGATATGCCTCCATTCCCGCCCATCCAAGATCTATTCGGTTTTCGTGGTGTTGATACAATACTTTTCCCGCCCGCTTTTTTTTTTGTACACAATCCTAGTATTACACCTCAAGCTTACAATTATTCCTCATCCGCCTTGGCCAGACTCTTCAACAGCTGCTGGCGAGCCGCCTTCCTGCTCGTCTTGCGCTGCGGACCAGTTGATGTTCTGCCCTCATCCGAGCCAATAACACCCGTCTCGTTGATATCGACACCAATCACCTTCTTCTTCTTGCTAGCAGCCGCCTTTTGACGCTGGGCTCTAAGACCGCCGTCATCAAGCACCTCAGGCCTGCCCAGACGCACGTTGCGACGGTTGCGCGTCTTCGCGCCGAGCGCCCAGAGGTCACCCCACTTAGCCTTGCGCGCATCATGATATGCCTGCTTGCTGAAGCTCTTCGGTACCGTCCAGCGCTCAATTTGCGCGTTGGGCGTACACACATCGAGCGTGACGTGACCGCGACGCTTGATGGGCGGGAGAATCTGGCGGGGCAGGGAGAGCATGTCAGGTGCCGTCTCGGACGTCTCGAAGCCCTCAAAGGCCCGGTCGGCGGCTTCTGCGCCGGCGAGTGGTCCCTCCTTTGCTGCGACGCCGCGCTGAATGGCGATGTAGCTGAATTGCACATCGTCGTGGTTGCGGTGTGTTGCGCCCATGATTCTTTGCAAGAACGGCGGTCGCACGAAGCGCTGGTTGAAGTGACAGAAATCCTTACGTCCAGTACTCTTTCCAGGAACCTGGTACATCGGACACCCGCGGTGATTTGTGCAGGGCGCAATGATCATGCCAGGTACCTTCTCTCTCTCGAATGCCGGGTTGTTCTCTTCGCTCATGGTAAGATTTTCACCTCCAGGAGGGATGAGGAACTCGGTAAGCAGGCGCTCTCGAACATCAGCCACGGCTTCAAAACCGCGCGGCTGGCCCTTTTCTAACAAGATCAAGACACCGCCGTTGGGATTCAGAAGTGACCAGATGTTGTTGAGAATAGCCTTGCGTCTGTGGCCTTCCTTGACGGGAAGCATCAGGTGAGATGCGATGATAATATCAAACATCTTCCTTGGCTGGGGGTTTTCGTTGGCATCCAGGTGAAGATGTGCGTTCTCGACTGAGTGATGGTAGTCGGGAAGACGGGGAAGGAAAGTCGTGTTCTGCAAAAACTTAGTGACGCGAGTCCGCAGCTTTTCCGATCCCACCACCACGCTCTGCTTTCCGGGAGGGTTCTTCTCAGTGACCTCTCCGCGAGACTTCATGGCGTCCCACTCGGCGCGCGACACATCCTGCCAGGCCAAGAGACCAGCACCACCAGCGCCAACATCGAGAACGCGAGGTCCACTCCCGTTCTTGAACAGATTCCGCAGCCAGTCCGTGCCCAGGCGTTTGCGAACCTCGACCAAGCTTCCCATGGCCGAGGCATAGGCGGGGGGTAGGAAGGCAGACACGAAGGCGTCCGCCTCAATGTCAGACATCTTGTTCTGCCAGACAGCCATGCCGATGGCCTGTTGTTCCATGCCCATCTTGGACGCCGGGGTGGCGGGTGAGTGTGGCAAGCCAGGGCCTCCGAATGCTTTCTCGGCAGCCTCCTTGACGTGCTTAATGTCTGTTCTGTCGAGCATTGATGTGACCGGTGCAATGTACCCGCCATACGGCAGACTGACTGTGCTCGGGTTTGTCGAGAAGTGGCCCTCCCTCGAGAATGGGTGCAGACGTCCTGCCCGCTTCGAAGTCCCTTGATCCTGGATGCCATCCTGGCTCTCGTCGAATTCCTCTTCTTCTTCCTCATCCTCTTCGAATTCCCGTTCCTCGTCCCGCATTTCGTCCTCCTCCAACATCTCCCTGTTTTCTTCCTCCACAGCGCGGGCGCTGGCCTCGAAGTCCTTTTGCAACATCATGAGCGCGTCATACTCCCTCTTGTTTCTCGCCACCATGTTGATGTATTTGTCACTGCCTTCTGGCGCTGCCTGCTCGGTCGGCTCTGGCACTATGACCTGAGCAGCAGCAGCAGCAGCAAGCTCATCACTCGTCTCGGATGCCTGCTCATCGTTGTTTTCCGCCGCTTTTTCCGACTTCTTGCGGGCGTACTGCACTTCTTGCAGTGTGCCGCCCTGGACCTGGCGCAGCAGAGTTGGGCTACCGGACCTGTCTCGTCGAACTCCTGCAGAATGCTCATCGTTCAAGTATTGTATTCCCACATCCTCTGGGGACGTCTCCCTCAGAGGCGGCCCATACCACCGCTCGTATAATGTGTATTCCTCCTCGCTGAGGTACCCCTTGGGCAGTGTATCTCGGAATCGCTGCCTCGCCTCTCGAACCGTCTTCTCAATTTCGGCGGTGCGCGCGAGTAGTTCGGCATCGTTGCGATTGGGCTCGGGGTCTTGGAAGCTTCGTGATGTTGTTGAAAACGTCCTGCGGGTGTTTGCGTGTTGGTCTAATGATCGTGTCGCAGCTAAGCTGCTCTGTCGTGGGAAGCTTGATCGAAGCTGTCGGCCTGCGGGGGATGAACCAGCTAGTGTATTTCCGGCCAAGCTCAATAATCGAGCTCGACAGCTGGGACAGGCATTTCGGAGACCACCTGCTGTCAACATGATTGCCTTTTGGGTGTGGATTGGTGGCAACGCAAAGTTGTCAAGGAGAAAAATCGCCTGTGAACTTTTAGGAGCTGTCGCATGGAACATTGAAATTTGGGTAGCTCAAAGATCGGCGCCCCACTTGTTGGAAATGAGACGCTCCCGATTGGCTTCGACAACAATGCTGTTCTACCAAGCATGACATGGATTCAACTTCAGGTATTCGAGATCTCAAGCTACAACAAATCTAGAAACAAAGTGACAGACGCATGACGAGTAACATGTATTGGCTGAAGAGCTTCGGGAATCATCTTTTACTCCGTATTCAAGTTTATGCAATTGCGCTTTACTTGTAAGTTCCGTCTTCATCTATCAGGTACTTTGGGTATTTCCACGCATCATTCTGAATGGACTGCCTTCAAGTTCCCAACTTCTTTTACAAGGCACTAAGCTGTGGGGTTTTGGTAGCATCTTGCTACAAAAGCTCACTCTAAAATGACCTAACGAATAAGCCTACATTATTCGCCGAAAGCTATTGAAATTAGATGTTCTTTAATTTCCGTAGAAATGTTTAACATATTTACAGCGTGTCTAGGTCGAGGTCAATAGAGCTCACGAGGGCGATTGTCCACTGGCCACCTTCGATGCTGTATGGACTTGTGGTTGTGAACGAGATTCAAGTAATTCGAAAGAGCCTATCTTTCATTTGTATCATCTATTCTCACTAATATGAAATCATGCCTCCACAATTCTGGCTTTGTCCTTTTCCGAGGTTTGCTTCTCTAGACACTTGATGATTTCCTTCATTGCCGGTGAACTCCCAATCTTCTTATGCTTCTGAGCCACATCCCGGGCATACGCCAGGGGGGTCTTCCCATGGGGGCCTTCCACGGTGAGACTTGCGCCTTTCTCAAGGAGAAGCTTGAAAGACGCCTCGAAGCCGTTGCGGATGGCGTAGTAAATTGCAGTGTGTCCAGTCTTTGAACTCGCCTCGATGTTGGCCCCTCTCTCCAGGAGCTCCTCAATGACAGCCTTTCGGTCTTTTAGAACGGCCCAATGTAGTGCAGTGCGGCCATCCGTCTCGTCTTTCCGATCAATCCTAGCACCACCCTCTACAAGCAACTTGACCAGGCTTACGTGCCCAGCCTGCGCCGCTAAAGAGAGGGCAGTCAGTCCGTTTGCGTCCTTGCAGTCTACTTTGGCTTTTTGTTTAATCAGTGCTTCGGCCGTCTTCTTGTTGCCCTCCTCAGCCGCGTTTGCTAGAGGTGTGCATCCATCTTCGTCTTTAGAGTCGATAAAAACCCCCCGATTAAGCAGCAACTTGACAGACTCGGCACATCCATACCGTGCCGCTGAGGCTAGCAATTCTTCCCCTATGCTCTCAACCACTTCGTTACTCGAGCCGTGATCTATCAACGAGCGGAGAGGCCCAGAGTTCCTTCTGTTTTCGGCTGCACTCATCAACGGAGTAACACTTGACGAGCTCTTGGCCGTGGTGTCTGCTCCTTCCCTGAGTAGCAACTCCACAGCCTCAGTACACCCATATGCTGCTGCATAATGCAATGGCGTCCATTTCTTATCTTTGCTCCGTGCTTTGATATTGGCTCCACGATCAATCAAGACACGCAGGACAGCACTGTCATGGCTATCATCGTACTTGGCAGCTTTACACAGAGCAGTCGCCCCATACGAACCCGGTGCTTCGAGATCTGCGCCTCGATCGAGGAGCAGATTTAATAATGCAATAGAATTCGCCGAGACCGCAAGCTCCAGGGGCGTTTCGTCATTTTCCGTTTTGGCTTCGATATCTGCTCCTCGATCCAACAGCCACTGCGCGAGCAAAACATTATTTTTGCGGATGGCAACGTGTAAAGGCCTCCGACCATCCTGGTCCGTGTCTTCTGTATGCGCGCCCCGATGAAGTAACAGCCGGACAGCTGGTAAGAAGTTCTCCGAACAAGCCCGATTTAGAGGTGTCCTCATGTAGCCATCCTTTGCGTCGACGCTGGCGCCGTTTTCTATCAGCCAAGTCACAACTGACAGGTTCTTTTTGATAATCGCCCAGGCTAGAACACTGCGTCCTTTAGAATCATTGAAGTCGAGGCTTGGAAGAGAATCTTTCAGAAACTGCATCGCGGCAATGTTTCCTTTGACGACTGCTTGTAAAAACGTCCTCTGCAATACGTCCTCCATGGATTGGATTGCTTCGTTTTGCTTTTTCTTGGCTTTGAAAAGGTCTTCGGACAGATAGGACACAACAGAGTCTTTCCACTTCGACGCCCTCTTCTCTCCGCTGGCCGAGTGTATTATTTGCGCCGTGGAAAGCGTCTGAAGGAGTTTCTTCTCCATTGAAACGTACTTTTCCTTGTCTCGGGAGGACGACTCGAGCCTTTTTTCGGATTTTTCCTTTTTTTGCACGAGATCTCTCTTCTCTGCCTCTAGCTGATCGAGCTGCCGCTGTACATCCCTGAGTCGTGCTTTTGCGGAGTCAAGAGCTGTTGCCTCGGTCTCTAAGGAACTAATCGACTTGTTAAGCTTTGGCGTTATATCTTGACTTTCCCGGAAGATGCTCTGCACGTTTACGCTGTGATCGAGAAGCTCAATCTCAGACGTCAAATTGATAGTGGACTTGGGCTGGCTGCTCTGTGGAACCACACTCACGGCATAAACCGGATGTACACCTGCCCCATGTCGCTGTCTAGAGACTTTAGCTTGGATACTCATGGTCCCGTTGTAGGCGCTTCCGTTCCCAAAGGTGTATTCTTCCACGAGTGGAGCATATGCAATCTTCTTCAGGGTCGTCCCTCTTGATGCGATCATGGCGTGACACTTTGCAGCTGAATGAGTCTTCGTCGATGTGAGCTCTAGGGCAAGTATAAAGTCGTTTGAATCATTTTCAGAATGAGCATGTCGAAACCTGGCCCATGTTCGCTGAGTCGATTCCTTGTGGAAGTCCATGCCGGTATAGAGGAAAGCATTATCCTTGTCCCAACAATCAGTCGGCCAGACATCGATCAACTCAAGGCCTTCGGCAAGTGCGTTTTCGACTGAGAACCCATAGCGACAGTCTTTCACCCGAGTTTCTTCGGGACTAATCGACGCCAAAGCATGTATGGATGATGCTGGTGTATCACACGCCACGTCTGGCAACATTGTTGTCTTGCTGTTCTTTGGTCTGACGTACTCGCCACCTGACTCTCCAGGCGCAATGCGGGAAAGAGGAATCCCTACTACTTTCTCCCTGCCATCATTGTCGTATCGACAGCTGAGAAGGCCATATGTGACCCCGGAACGATCAGAGTGAAGTGGGATTCGTAGTTTAAGGTAGCCGCGTAAGATATTCCCCTCTATCGTCGGAGTGCGGTTTTCCCTGGATGCAACCTTCCCACAGCCTGCAAATGCTGCAGGAGAAGAGGCTAGAACGCCCCCAACAAAATCCCTTGGGCGATTTTTTGAATCTGCCACAGTGATTTGCGGCCTTAAGCCCCATGCCAAGATTGAGTCGTCTGTGGTGGCATTGATTATCGTATCTTGAAGCCGGATGAAAGCACCATCGCCTTCTCCATAAATAAGTGACATGACAACGTTGAAGATACCCAGAAGCGAATACGCAATGTCTTCTACCCTCTTGGTCTCTCGATTCGAAGCCCAAGACATGCGTTGTGCCACACTTGCTTCGCGTAGGTTGGAAGCACCCAGTAAAAACCGTGCCGGGATACCTGTTATGTCTCCTACGACTTCGGACAGTTGCAGCTTTGTACCCAAAGCTTGCCAGTCGCTACTGTAGAACATGAGCTCGCTCGGGGCTAGCAGCTCTTGCAAGGTCCATCCTCTCGTGAACCAACGACTTTTTCGAAACTTGGATTTCCACTTGGGATTGTCCTTCGAGGGTACATCTTGGAGGAACGTATAACATGTCTGTGCTTCCTGGTACCAGCGGAACATGGAATTGATCGCCTCGCCCAACTCGTTGGCATTGGTCTTGTCGATACAGCAAGTATCAATCCAGACATAGTCGAGTCCATCGGTTTTTGCTTGTCGCAGGCAACCTTCAAGCTTGATCGTTCCGATTCCCGGCTTGTCTGTGTCGCCTTGCTTGATTTCGCGGAAAGATATCTCCTCTTTGTCTGGCCCCCAAGTATGTGATAAGATGGCATACTTCGGTTTGTCGGCATGAAATTCCTCCAGTAACCGGGTATGAACGTTGATGAGATGCATGTGAGGCGAGGGAGCCGGTTGGAATAGCTTTGAAGCCTACTATCCTGAGTTCAGGAGGATGCTCTCGGGGCTCTCAGCAAGAGTAAGAGCCGAGACAGAGGAGGTCTAATTCAAAAAGAAATTGAGAGAACGTAATAATATGTGCATGGGAAGAAAACAAGGGCAGAAACGGTGAAGTAGAAATGAAATGGAAACCAGGTTTAGAGAAGTAGTAAGCCGCTAGACCAGGCAGTCAGTGGAAGAGGGGCGGATAAGCAGGACAAGCCCCGTCAACAGAGATTCTATTCGCCAGCCTCACGTTGACCGAAGGCAGCTGCGGCCCCAGACAAGCGCCTGCAGAATGCAGCATGTTCAATATGGGTACTCAGCCCCATACTGTCTGGCTTGCGCCCCGATTGTCATTTCATCCGGAGCATGAACAGTCGCGAAGGGTTCCTCCATTCTAACGATGCGAATTGGCTGAAAACGAGGTATGTACTCTATCGATGCTAGGCCGCGATAGCGTGGTAGAGGCAAGTTAGCAGGCTACTAATCGCTTGCGACGGATTATGGAACTTGTCATGTATAATAATCAATGGAAGGATGCTCTTGGAGCCCAGTGGAGCTTCTATGTACTCTCAGATAAATAGCTCCAAACGCCTTTCGCCTGTAATCGATCATATCATTCATCGCCGCCCAAATCAGCCAGGGTCTTGAAAGCTGGTCCTCTCGGCGGCTGTCTCGTGCCGGGGCCAGCGCTCTTTGTGGATTTGACCGTCGGTGGGGGCGGGTTCACGCGGTTAAATTGCGACATCTCGGCCGCCTTGTGGGGATCAATCTACCAGTCCGTCAGCAGGCGGTTCTTCTTGCTCCCCTTCGGATCGACCGTGAACCAACGTACCGCAAACAGAGACACCAGATACAATCCAATAAACGTAATGATGTTGCTCAGAATATCGCGGTAGTGCCACGCAAACGGCCGCTGGAGACTCGCCCGCGCGGGCTTATCCCCGCCGAGCGTCCGGCCCGGTGTTTTGAACGAGGCTGCGGAGCGGCCGCCCTTATCAGGGAGCTTCAGCGCGTTTTGAATGGCCTGTGTGAGGGCGGGCGGGTTCGCGCCCTTGATGGTCTCGATCGCCTGGCCGCCGTGGAAGATGATGAAGGTGGGCATGGCGCTGACGCCGTGAGTGCGGGCGATGGTGGACTGGCTGTCGACATTGATCTTGCAGAAGGCGACCTTGTTCGGCTTGGAGTGTTCTTTCGCGAGACGTTCGACGTGGGGTGCGATCTGCTTGCAAGGGCCGCACCAGTCGGCGTAGACTGTCATGGTGTTTGTCAGCGATCTCACGGATGCGCGGGGGGGACGGCTGCTGAGAAGGCCACTTACAGTCTGCGATAACGACATTGTTACCGCTTAGAATGCCTTGCCATTGGCCGGCGGACTGGATGTTGATGAGACTCATGGCTTCAATGACTTGGCACAAAGTAACCAGGGCGATTAATACGTTGGCGCAAGTGTCACGAAGTTGAAAGGAGACAGAATTGAACCCTTGGGAGTCGTCCGCGACGTAGCTGACGGATAGCTCGCGGCCTGGTCCCAGCGGAAAGGTGGCGGGTACCTGAATAGGAAGGCGGCCAGACTTGACTCCGCAGTTCTGCCGGATTTACCCCAGGATTATCGATAGCGGGACCATCACCCAGAAACTTTTTTGGGACGCTGCGAACATTGTCCCGAATTCTTCTTCAAGACGACATTTCCAGAGCTACCAGAATTACCTGCGCTCCAATCCCCTTCAAAATGGCCTACGATCAAGGAGCAAAGGTAATCCCATATTCGGAAAAACTTCCCAGACATTTGCTAATTTGCTGCAGAGGAGAAAGACTGACGAAGGCAGCTATGTCGACCCTTCAGAAAGTGGTAGCGGCCGCAAGTGGACAGTCTCCGTTGCAATTCCCAGCAGTATTCTCTCAGAGTATGACCGCAAATCATGCCCAATGTCTTTGGTACAGATATTAACCTTTCTCCAGTGCTCTTACAGCTGAGCGCCGCAATTCCGTAGCCGGTCTCATCGCCCGCGCTCTCGCCGTCTTCTCCGTCGATGAGATCGTAATCTTCGACGACAGCCCGACCGAATCCCGGCCCAAGAGCGTCGACACAAAAGCCTACACCGGCGACATCGACCCCTGCCACTTCCTCGAGCACCTCCTCGGCTACCTCGAAGTCCCACCCTTCATGCGCAAAATGCTCTTCCCCCTCCACCCGAACCTGCGCCTCGCCAGCCAGCTGCCCTCGCTCGAGATGCCACACCACCCAAACCCGGCCGAATGGCTTCCCTACCGCGAGGGCGTCGCCGGCAAGGGAACGCCCCGGGGCACCATGATCGATGTCGGTCTTAAGGACCAGGTCCTGATCGAGGACGAGGTCCCCCCCAATACCCGCGTGACGCTGTACCACCCGGACCAGAGATCGCAAAAGGCCGAGGCGTGCGACCCGTCGGCTCCGAGGGAGGAGGGCGGCTTCTACTGGGGATATCAAGTCCGTCGCGCCAACTCGCTGACGGCGGTGTTCACAGAGTGCAAGTTCGAGGGTGGCTACGACGTCAGTATTGGCACATCGGAGCGCGGACGCACACTCTCAGAGGCCTTCCCCAGCGCCGAGCCCCTAGAATTCAAGCATCTTCTCATTGCGTTTGGTGGACCCAGAGGTATCGAGTATGCGGCGTTGAACGACAAGGAGCTCGAGGGTATGGATATGGGTCCCTCAAAGGCCAAGGAGCTGTTTGACCACTGGGTCAACATCCTGCCTGGCCAAGGCAGCCGTAACATCAGGACAGACGAGGCTCTGTGGGTTGCGTTGACGAGCATGAGAAGGTTGTGGTATGAGGTCTGATACGCTCTGTGATGTTCAGGGGCGCTGTGTTGGACCGGCATCTTGACGGAGACATGATACCCATAATAAAAGTTGAATTCCATGAACTGACTCTTTCGTTGATGAAATCTCATCGTGCAGGCTGTTGAAGTATTGTGGGAATACTGTCCATATCAGAGAGACCTGTTATGCGCCATCATTCGATGTGCCAAATACATGAAGGAGGATCCAGCAAGTTGGATGACATTCAAGTTTATAGGAAATTGATTCATTGCTTGTTCCGATGCGACATAAGTATACCAATGATATTGTAAATTGACCAAAGCAATTGTCAGTGCTACTCACTGAAAGAGTCTCTTCCACGGCATCTTCTACTACTATTACGAGAAAAAAGAGCGGCGGTCGTCACTACTTATCCAATTTCCCAATCTTCACTGCGTTTTTAACGCCTGCAGAGGGGACAAGTAATTCGCCCAGTGCGAATCCTCCAGTCGATCCTACTACAGATAATGGCAAAACTCGCACTCTCTCGCGGCCCCTTGGGTGGTTAAAAATGCAGTGCGGAAAGGTGTGTCGGCTGTGAAATGAAAGTGACAGGGATCGCGCATGTAGCATCTCAGGATTGGCTAGCATCACGAGGGGATGGCGAATCTATTCAAGAAGTGAACGAAACCCATGCTGACGTCTGATATCATCAGCCCAGCCTCATTACTCTCCGACAGACAGTCTCTGAGCGGAATCACTCACGGCAACGAAAGATTGGTCTCGATATGGCGATGACAAAAAAGAATTAGGAATATCATTACTTATACAGCCAAGAAGTAAACATCTCAGTGCTGATACAAGGCAATACCAGCCGTGAACCCAGCAATATTATCCTTGTAGAATGCCACATCCTTTCCATACCGCGTAACCATGGCCGTCGTGCCCACAATCTGCAGGTTGTAGATGTCAAAGTTATCCGTCGCGGTGCAGTTGCCCGGCGCATCGCGCACATCGACGATGCGCTGCTGGCACCTGGCTCCGGCGCCGATCTGGCAGCACGCCGTGCTGTAGTTGTTGAAGAAGGAGTAGTGTCCCGCGCCGAACGCGACGACGTTCTGGCTGCCGATGACGCGGAGACCCCAGGCCATCTTGCATGGCGGGCCGTTGGGATCGGCGTCCTTGCATTCCGTCTCGAAGTCTGGGTCGTGGTAGCCCTTGACGCGAGGGAAGGGGATCGTGGCTGGCGGGTTGGGTTGGTACTAATCGTCAAGGTCAGCTTTATGTGAAAGAGTTGGTTTTCATGAGAGAGAATACGTACGTAAGGGGTCTCGGACTGAATCTGGCCCATGTACACATCTCTGGTCTTGAAGAGCATGTATTGGTAGAGGGTATGGTGCTCAACTCCAGAGGCGGACAGCCAGATCTTGCCAGCGGTCGACTCGATAAGCAAACCACGACCGTTGTAGATGGTAACCTGCTTGTAGTCGGGGTCCTCGAGGTCGTGATCGGCAGTCCAGATCCAGCAGTTCTCTTGGAGAAGTCCACTTAAAGATTGTCAGCCCGCATTGTTCACAGAAGAAGATCCATAATCAGGGGTAACTCACGAAGCCGGCTTAGTGATGTGCATACTCATCCACGCCGCAATGCAGTTCTTGTCAATGGTATCCGCGGTGACAGTAGCGTTAGGAGTGGTAGGGCACTCCTTAAGCTGTTGCTGCGTGCCAGCGAATCCTCCGACGCGGATATGCACATCCCACATGCCAGACGGCTCGCCGACCGTGTTGAGGTTGTACTCAATAACCTTGGCACCCGGTGCAGATCCGCGCGTGGACACAATCATGTCTGACCACTCGATCGTTCCGCACTGGCCCGGGATAGCGACCTTCACAACGGGGTGAGGCTTCTCGATATCCTGGAACTTCTCACCGCCGCCCATGATAATGGAGGCTAGGGCCTCACCCACAATGCGAGCTCCGGGAGGGATGAAGACGGTGTCAGAGACGTAGTAAGTTCCCGCGTCGACGAAGGCGAGGAGGCCAGCGGCAGGGTTCGAGGCGACGTAGTTGAAGAGGTTGTTGAGGGCCACCGTGTCGTCCGTCACACCGTCACCGCGAGCACCGAAGGAGCGGGCCGAGATAACGAGGCTTGAGGGGACATCTTCGTAGTGCGGCTTGGAGCGCTCGTAGTACTTTGTCGTGCCGTTGGCGGAGGTTCCGAGAAGGGCTGGGTAGACGGGGAAGTAGCCCGCGTCAGAGCCGGTGTAGTCGGTTGGGCCGGTGGGTGTGTAGATGTGACCCATGGCGAAGCCCTGGGAGACGGTGGCGCTCGAGGTTCCGGCGATGATGGTGTTGTTCTTGGGTCCGAGAAGGATAGTCTGGACCTTGGAGAAGGCGACATTCTCCATTACGAGAGTGCCGGCCGTAACCGGTACCGTAACGCCGGGCTCACGGCTAGTGCGAATCGCTGTTTGGGTGTTGACGAACTCAGAGTCCAAAAGAGTGATTGAAGAAGTGCTGTTGTCCTGCATACGGATGCCGATGCCGCAGTTCTCAACGTAGATGTTCTTGTACGTCCAGCCCCAGTCCCAAAGTTGGTTGATGGCGACCTGAGCGTTCCAGAAACGAAGCTATTCACACACAGCGAGTCAGCAACCAATCTTCACTTTCCCACAGCTATCAAAGGGCCGTTAATACATTACGAGCAGTGTATTGCTGGTTGCCAAAATTGACGCCGTATTGACCTCCGTAGAAGTCAAGATCGTTGAGAAGGCCGCCTGAACCCTCCTCGATGAAGATGCCGACATGCTTGCTCGACGAGCCCTCAGCAAGGCGGAACTCGCAGTTCGTGATAGCAGTAGCTTGTGACGAAGGCCAATGAATTCCAAAAGCAGCAGCAGAGGCAGGAATGGCTGTGGTGTCAAAAACGAGGTTGCGCACTTGTCTGAAGAAGACGTTGGTGGCTCCCCAGCTAAGGCCATTCGCGCCATACTGTGGTGGGTGTGTTAGTCAATTACTCCACGCACAACACAACTAATGCAATTGACATAATTGACAAAATGCATCTTTTCCATGACTAAAAGCCATAGAATTTCGAAAAGTTAATTACATACCGGGTTGCCATCGAGGAGGCCGAGGGTGGTGTTGGTGGGGAAGTCGGCCACGGCCTTGATCACCGGGCGATCGGTCGGATCACCAATGATTTGCGTATAAAAGTAGTCAATGATAGAACCCGAAATGAGATAAGTTCTACAGCCAATCGTCAGCTAGTTCATCCTTCTTCATTCTTCTCTCATTCAATTGAATTGCAATTCCCAAAGACTCACCCGGGAGGGAAGTAGACGGTAGCAGGCGACGTCGTCTCGCCCTTGCACTTGCCCGGCGCGCACCGCTCACCGGAGCTGATGGCGAGATTGATCGCCGCAGTATCGTCCGTCACGCCATCGCCCTTTGCGCCAAAGTCCTTTACGTTACGGAAGACCTTGTAGTTCGGGTCCGGGTGGTAGGGGGAGATGCCCTGGTGGGCAATGTCTTCCATCCAGTAGGCCGCTTTGGCGAGGGTCGCGGCCGCGAGCCAGAAGGCGGCTGTGACGCGCATTTTGACGGGCTTCTTGTTGATTTGCTTTTCGAGTAAGGTGAAGATACTATGATTACGAGGAATTCGAATGAGTGTGGTGGAAGTGAGAGCGAGGTAGACTGCGCTGGTGGGATTTCAATGAGTGGATGAGTTCGGAACTCGATGGAGAGATTTGTGTAATGAACGTGGTCACTTCCCCTCCTGATCAATAAACCAGCAAGGTGAGGATCAAAAGAGATAGGAAAAAGAGAGGCGTGAGCAGGAAAGTCAATCAAGTAATAGAAAAAGGAGTGGCGCGATTCTCAGCAGAATCAGCAATAAGGGCAACGGATCAGAAAGCTATAGACATTCAGGGACCCCCAGCAGTGGGACGAACCTTGAGATCGGGTAGATTACTACTCACACTCTCAGGCCCGGACGTCCCGAGTAAGTGGAAGATGAGTACAAATAGGCGTAGGGAAAAAAGAAACAAAGTTGACAGAGCGACAAGGGGTGAAGGGCGACAAGCCCGGGATACTTTATTAGAGTTGGGCTGAAGTGGAGGAGACGAGGTCGAGAGAGCTGTGGGAGCCGTGGAACGACGGGTTCAACGCTACTCAGCCTCTCAGGAACCAAGAACCGCGCTTTTGCGGGACGTTTTGCCGTTCGTTTCTTGATAGACCAAGAAATTATCATAAAAAAGGTTCTAAAAAGGGATAGACTGGGGGGATGAACGTGGGCAGAAAATCAAAAGCAGTGTGTCTCATTTACTTAGCTTCCCGTAGCTTTTAGTCCTGCTTTACTCCCTCACTCATTCCCCGCGCGCGTCTTACTCAATTCGCTTCCCAACATGGGACAGACGGGCAGGATGACTGTAGATGCTATGTCATGCAGGAAAGAAATGACCACCAGATGCGTAGAGGTAATCATGCCGGCCCAGAAAGCATTGTTTGCCTCTACAGTGACCGGGTGAACTGCTGCACATCTCACCTTCGACAAGATTCAATCCAAAAGACGCAAAGCTTCCAATATTTACTTCGCGACCCAACGCGCTGACGAGGCAGTCATCCGCTAGGCGTCCGAAAGGCGTCTTGTGGCTGGCTGTCTACGCCGTTCAGGTACACCAGGCTTTGACAAAGCAAGCTTCTTACTCAGTTGTTTTAGTGTGAATCCAGCCTACGGATACTTCACGGGCAACCCACGAGGGGGAGGTGGAGTGCATTGGAGCCTTTAGAGGGTGTGCTAGGCCTGTGTGGGATAGGCCGGGGCGGGAAATGATGAGTGAGGGGGAAATGAGGGACGCCTCCGGGACCGTGAACGCGCATCATTATTGCAGGATGCATATGCAGCTGCTGATCTGCTTTGATGCTGGTGATCTACGGATGATGTCGTGTGGGTGAGTTAGCGAAGAGAGGAGGGAGGGCATGCGTGAGAGCTTGGCCTAATGAGAGAGAGGCATTTCGCGGTGAGAAACCAACCTAGAAGAGACGTCCAGGGTGTCTTGGTCTGAAGGGAGCCAGTGGATAAAGTGGAATTCCACTCATCGCATGGAACGAGGGGAGACAGAACGTTGGCCGTTGGCGTTTACTCCCAACGGGAGCCTATGCTCTAACGCGATGTTCGGCGATGCTAATTCTTGACCAAGGACACTTATGCTCTCGTTTGATCCAACTTTCGATAATCGCTTTTGCTGAATGTCGCCGGGGATGAACGGAGAAGAAACTTCTCGGGAAAGATGACAGGAACAGGACCAAGCTTTCCCCCGGCCTGGAAAGAAAAGTGATGGGACGGTGCATTGGTGTTGGCCGGGGTGGTCCAGGCCAGCTTTTCTCTCGCTTTGCGGCTACCAGATTCTCGGCCGCTCCCTTGGCCATTGGGTTGGTACATCTATCGCTCGTCCATTGATGCATGAGGGTAGCATCGCTTATCCCCAAAGCCAACAGCTCCCCTGTAAAAAATGCTCAGCTGAAAAAGCCAAGATCAAAGCAGACATGAGCCGCGTATGCCCTCATTCTCAGGCGCCCATACCTCAGTAGATCCCGTGTTATTTGAAGGGAGCCCGCGGGATCAGAGGTGCATGCCATGAGACTGATAAGTAAACGACTCCTTTCTTGAAGACTCGACCGTTAAGGTGTCTCTCCATTCACACGCACTAAAACCCGATTCAAGAAATCGATAACAGCCCTATCCGGTGAGTTTTTGAACGCGGAACACGCATCAGGAACGCCGGGAAATTAGGGCCTCCTCTCAAGACCACGCCATCTTCTCCCTTCTTCGAGCTGAAGATGCGGAAATCCGACGTCTCTGAACTTTTTCGATTCCTGCCTCCCGAATCCGATCTTGGCTCAGACAGAGGGTCCGTTGATTGGTATGCGATTGCCAGGACCAGGCACAACGAGGCGACTAGGTGGTTCGAGGTCTTACCCCTGAGGATTCCGACGATTCATCAATCGGCCGAGTTATGATCGTGGTATAAAAACGCCGGAGACTACCCATTCGGAGTGGTAGAGAAGTGAAAGGAGGAGGAAGTAAGGTTGAAATCATACGAGTACATAGCTCTAGATCTACCGTACCCGAGTTGGGTCATCATACCCCTTTAAAAATGGCACGGACGGAGTAACATGAGACCCGGATGTAAATTCATAGCTCTTAGTGGCCATTGTTGAAGACCACCCGGCATCCGTATATTCTTCTAGGTCTACTATGCACCTAGGTTGTATGTCGAAAAGTGTGCCACCCGGGGGTAGAAGATGGCGATGCCCATGATGAATGAAGTTCCCGTCGTCCAGCCCAAAAAAATTAACGCCAGCCATGCCATCTAACCCCCCTTTGACAATTATCCATCTCATCCCCTAGTCTATTTCATCACCATCCTCACAGATCGTACATCCTCAATTCTCGCTGCAAAAGTACAGCAACAATCCGGTCTAAAGCGTCTTGAACCCCTCCTCCAGAGCAACAGTCTGGCCCAGCCTACCGCTCGCGGCCATGCCAGCCTTCTCGCCCGCCCTCTTGCGCAGCACGTTCTCGATAAACGCCTCGCCGGCCTTGTAACTGCTCCGAACCAGGGGACCACTGGCACAGTACAGGAATCCCATATCCAGCGCGCGCTGCTTCCACATCTCGAACTCGTCGGGGGTGACGTATTTCTCGACCTTGAGGTGGCGCTTCGTCGGGCGCATGTACTGGCCGAAGGTGACGACGTCGACGTTGGCTTTGCGAAGTTCTGTGTTTCCCCAAATGTTAGCATTTCTTTCCGGCCTTGACTTCAATTCACGCGATTTCCTGACTGTAAGCCAGAGAATGATAGGGACAAACGTACGCCTCAAAGCATCCATAATCTCCTCCTCCTGCTCTCCCAAGCCAAGCATCAGACTCGTCTTGGTAATCATCTCCGGCTTCACCTCCTTGACCCGCGCAAGCACCTTGATACTCTGCGCAAACGTGGCCCTCCGATCACGCACATACGGCGTCAGCGCCTCCACCGTCTCAACATTGTGCGCATATACATCCAAACCGCTCTCCGCCACAATCTTCACCATGTCCAAGTCGCCCATAAAGTCGCCGGTCAGCGCCTCGACCAGCAGACTCGGCTTCTTGGCCTTGATCTTGCTGATTGTCTCAGCAAAATGCCGCGCTCCGCCGTCCGCCAGGTCATCGCGGTCAACAGACGTCAGAACAACGTATCCCAAACCCCACCTAGCCAGCGCCTCGGCCGTGTGCTCCGGCTCATGGGGGTCCAACGGCGCCGGCGCGCGGTTGGTCTTTACACTGCAGAAACGGCATCCGCGCGTGCACGTGTCGCCCATGAGCATGATGGTCGCCGTCGCTGCGCTCTTGGAGGAGCCGCCCCAGCACTCGGAGATGTTGGGGCACTTGGCCTCCTCGCATACCGTGTGCAACCCCAGACCGCGCAGATCCTTCTTAATGGACTTGTAATTCTCGTTGCCGGCGGGGATGGGCGTCTTGAGCCACTCAGGAAGGCGGGTGATGGTCTTCTTCTTGCCCGTCGGGCCCGTGACCTCGACGGTGCGAATCTCGTAGGCCTCGGCCTCGGAGAGGGCCGCGGGGTCGCCCTTGCTCGCGATGAAGTCGTCCAGCGACGCGAGGCTCTTGTCCTTGAAGTAGGTCGGTCTGCGGGCTTTCGGGGGTTGCGATGCTGCTTCGGATGTTGTGCCGAAGGTGGGAGGAACGGTGGCGAAGGCTCGGGAGCGAGCCGACGAGGCGAGAGCCCGCCGCAGAGGAGCCTGCACGCGGGCAAGAGGTGCCATGGGCGATGGCATTGTGATCAATTGTCGTTGGCGTTTCGCCCGGTTTCCACTAGAAGTTGCCCGTGTGATTGCAGCAGCCGACGATGTTGCTGGCGAGAAAGCTTGGTTGGGAGGTTGATGCAGACAACAGCTGTGATGGGGCAAAAAAACAGGTCCCAAGAAAATATGACCACTAGAAATTAGGCCCTGCAGCTGGCTACACCCCCCGGTCCCCGGATTGAATCGGCATATCGGGGGGACGTGATTGCGTCTCGACCAATCAGAATCGGCCGGCCGTCTGACAGCGGCAATGCTTATTAAGAAGGCTTATCGAAATGTCGGCGTACCGGGGCTTTCCGTCCCAACGGTTTCGTTTTTCAAGGGCCGAGGGGTCGTTGTCTTACTCGCTTCCCGGTTCTTTCCAATCAAGAGGTCAGGATTGCCAATGCTGCGTGGGATCACGAGCCGAGTACTCATGTCCCTGTCACTTATCATGGTAGGAGAATGCAAGGGTTCGATGGAACAGAGCCATAGGCTCATGTCAATGAATTCGTTCAACTATGCTACCAGTAAATGCCTCTTCACAATTCCTTAAAACTCCTTTCAATGGCCTCCAAGCCCCCCTCGCAAGGCAAAGTCGCGTCGGACCATGCCATCATTCAATCAAAACGGTCGTCAATCCGAAATATCAAAGCAAATCCATCGCGTCCTCCTACCGACCGGGCAATGTCAGACAACCCAAGCAAGCGAAACCCAAGGTTGAACCTTCGAAAAGGGCAACCTCGGAAGCGCAGCTTGCTCTGTCCAACCCCGGCCGGCAACCATACAGCAATAGGGGTATCAACAACTCGAAGAAGAGTGAAACTTTTGTTCCATCACGAGAACTCCGGTAAATCCCTAAATCATCCATCCTGATCATTTCCGTCTTAAATCCTCCTTTGAAAAAAGACGTTGCGAAAGATCTCGTAAATATCATTTCCAGCCAGCAAGTACACCTGCAGCAACATCAGTGCCTGGCCAGGTACTCGAGCCAACGGCAGCCTGAAACCATCAGGCGTGAATTGACTCGATGCCATCCCCAACACGACTCACCAGTCTAGAAAACCAGACAGTTGATTGTGTTCGAGGAGGCCCTGGGTGATCATAGCCACTGACGTGCGTGAAGGGCAGATCGACTACGCATTCCATGCGGCCCTTGTGTTGCTGGGGAAGAATCGAAACATTAAAACATGAGGTGGCAAGCCGTCCGCCACCCATAAAAGAAAGGCGGCGGACAGTCAGTGTCGTTTGAAGTGAGAGTGAAAAAAGGTTGATCGCTGTCAAGAAGCCCCAGTTGACTAGCGTGTCGGTTCCTTTCCTGCAGGATGGCGATGCAAGCGTCGCGCATGGTTGTTGTCGAAGAGGAATAGGGTATAGTGTGTGCCGTCAACTCAAGTGGTTTCCCGATTCTCAAGGTCGTGAAGGTCGTAAGAATAGGTCGCGCTCACATCGGTAGCGATGTTGCGCCGAACCAGGGTTGGAGGCGATGACAAAAGAGAAGGCTGAAAAGATGTCGCATCGAAGAGTTCGGTGTGGCAGTAAGACGCGGCGGGCAACATTCCTCCAACCACATCGCAACTTTTAACCCGACCTCCATTTCCTCACACCTTCGTCTTGCGCATCCAGTGATGCCGCTTTACAACATAACAGCAGCGACCATACCAGCAACACCAGCGAAAGCCAGGCTACCAGCGTTGAGAGCGGCGCCCGCACTGGACTTCGAGGTAGTTGCAGCGGTAGCCGCGGCAGTTGCAGAGGCAACAACGGAGCCGGTGGGCTTGAATGTCGCGGTGCTGTTGCCGGTGCCGTAGGTCATGGTGGTGGTGTGCGCGCGCTCAAGAGTAATGGTCTTGGTCTGGGTAGCCGTGGAAGTAACCGTCGTCGTATCGCCGCTTGAGGTCTGGGCCAGCACCAAGACGGGCAAGAAAGCAGCAAGAATCGTGGTGACCTTCATTGTGTCTGTAAGTGGGTGTTTGTTGGTGATTGTACTGGTCAACTGTCGAAGCCTGACGAAGTATAGACCGAATCGAATATGTATGTGCGTCGGAAGTAATCCGTTTAACACTATAATGCGTATGCTTGGTGTTGGGTCTTTCAAAGATCGTGATGTAAGTCGAACTGCTTGACTTGGTGCTAAGGTGGATTGGAACAGCCAGATGTATATGTGTGTTGGCGTGTTTGCTGTTGTGTCTAAGCCGGGGCAGTGAGTGGTTTTTGGCGGGGAGCGCTTGTTGTTGGTTTGCGACAAGAGGGCGTCTGTCCGCGGATGTAAATAGGAATGAGTGTTAGTCCGAATACTTCGAGTAATTCAGGTTTGGCGATGTTTGTTTCAACGACTGTGCGTGAAGCGAGAGAAGGGTGAAGCAGTAGGAGACTTTGCCAACGAAGTCTGTGGGTTATGGATCGGGGGGGAGTGGTTTGAATAAGAGGATGCTGGAGAGAGGACCCAGACTCGCGAGAAGTGGGAAAAGACGTGGGTTTTGGATGTGGGGAGACAAGCGACGGGGGCAGGCGGATCAGGCGAGGGTTACGGATGCAAGCGTCGGGTGAAAATGAGCAGCAACAACGAAGTACTCCGTACCTTTACCCGGGGGCCTGGCAACCTGGGAGTCTGGGAGACGTCTGGAGGTCCAGGATCCTCCCAGGCGGCAGGGCCTCATCCCCGTGGACTGTGAGCCTGTGAGGTGACTGGCAGGGGCGACGACGATGCAGGCGCCGACAGGGAAGGCGCTCACACCCAAAATGAAAGCCAAGCCCGGCCCACGAAAGAGATGGAGGAAGGAAAGGACGTTAGCTGTGGTCCGTGAGCCTGTGAGAGGGCAAGAGGTGGAGGTGCTCGGCCCTACCTTCCCTGTCCTTTCCTGCCAGTTCTTTCCAGATGTATCCCGGGGAAGGAGCAAGCAAGTAGAGACGGCAGGTACGGCTGGGACGGGACAGTGACACAGGAGGGAAAAAGGAGATGAGATGCTTGCTGCGGTACGAGTCGCAAGTCGGACCTGGTCTGCTACTGAGAGTCTGCAAAAGCCAACCGGATTGTCGCAACAGAGGCCATCGTCACTCGGCCGGTGAGGTATCACAGAGGTAGCTGCAAGGTACCCGTGTCCAGGCTGCTCTGTTTAACCCTGCTGGCCATGCTTCAAGCCCACCATCCTCCTAGAGGCGCTAAGTACATTGAACATTTCTACTCGCCAAGATTTAGCGGTGGTAATTTGTACACGCGACCATCCGTATGCAGGCTTAATATGCAGGCAGGGGTCTGGATCTTCGCGGGAAATTAAGGCGCAAAAGCACAGCATTGCGTTCGCTGGCAGTCGACCACGTTACCTTGCGCCTTGCCTCAGTGCGCTTTGTGAATGGATAATTGTGCAAACAACCAACCGCCAGCTATTCATCACGCCAGCAACGACGGATCGGCAGGGCGTCGATTGGAAGCTGTTCGTTGTTTGCCCTGACGCAGTGACAGCGCTTTTCTTAGAAGCCTTGTGTGATCCTGACGCGGGCTGAGCACAATCCGCAAGTCTCAAGAGCCAGCAATAGAAGCAAGAACCCAGAATAAGCAACATCCGTTGCGGGCAGTGACAACCGGCGCCATGAATAGCGCCATTCTTTTCTGCTTCTTATTCTTCCGGTTAATTCAAGCAGGTAGTCCGACTCCTGAGTCCTAAAAAGTCGCTCGGCCGAGCTAAGACGGAAACAATACCTTGTGCCGGGCGAGACAAGCCCAACGGTCCATCACTCGGCTTGCTTATTCTTGATATCCAAGACAAAGTAAGGCCGGGGTTGACAGAAGGAGGGAGAGAAAGGCATTGTTACCAGCCGCAAACGGGCTTAGTAGGCGGTGATTGTTCGTACAATGCTCTCTAACAGGGCGAATAGCGGCAGCATTATTGAAGAGTTTAATGGCATAATTTGCACCTCGTCATTTGGATCCCCTCCCAAATGTGACACGAAATGCCGCGAAATGGGCGAAATGGGTGACACACGAGGAAAGAGCGCGAATCGTCCATTCCCGATACAGCGACAACGCGAGTGGGCTTTTCATAAAAGATTGAATTGCACAATTTCCCCGAGCCACCAACATCTGGTGATTGGTCTAAAGTGCGGTGGAAGCGGGACCCAACTGGTGAGACCCATCACCCAAGGCTTCTTCTCCTTCCGTTTCGCGGCTGGCCAGCTCGTTCCTGCATTTCACTCAGAAAATGGTTCCTGACGCTAAGCCCTGGATGGTCAGCTCAGAGTGTCTCGTGCGCTCTGACTGGCCGGGGGTGTCTGAGTGCCTGCAGCCAGTTGGTTGGTTGGCTCAGGAGTGGGGAGGAGCGTTAGAGAGGGACGGGAAAGAAAGAAGAGTTTGCCGACAGTGCGGTATTTTGGAATTTGGAAGGAACTGAGCAATTGTGACAGACGGAGGGAAGTCACTGAGAAAGTCGCTTCCAGTAGGGGCAGCCAGCAAGGACTCACCCTGGTTGCCTCCCCCGATTCCTTCCCAAAAGTCGAGTGTCAAATCTTAGGATTCTCTCCTTCCTTCCCAGAACGTTCGTCCGACGGTCTGTGCAGTCGCAACATGGAAGTGCAAGTCGCAGTTGCTCATCGCCCGGGAAATGTCATCATCCTTCATCCCTATTCCCCGTTCAGATCACTTGCGGAGAAGCCTCTTTTAGTGTCGATTTCCTCGTTCCTAATCTTACTGACTTACGCCGCTGCAGCCTCTCCGTACGGATATTCTTCGTCCGGGCAGAAGGTCAATTTGATTCCAACTCGCAGCTCGCAGCCCATCCGTCGTAAAGTTTGAACGGGGCCGGCCGTCGACGGTAATCAGCAGCAACACAACCCGGACACAATCGTCTCATGTGTCTCAGTCCCATCTTTGTCTCTCCGTCCAAACTCGCACTTCAACGATAATCAAACTTGGGGGCTGCAGCTGCAACCGCAAATCCTCGGATGAAACCCGAAATCCTCTCCACCGTTATGTCCACCAACATGAACCAACCTGAACTTCTGGAGATCACGCCGGAGATCAATGATTTTGGTGGGCCAACATTGCTGTGAACTTCTCAAGAGGGAGACTCCCTTCTCGCCAGGGACCAGCGGCCGGCCATGAATAATGGATCATGACCATCGCCTAGGTCCTCACGTTGCTTGACATGGGAGTCTTGACTCTGGACGGCCCGAGCTTGCCCACTTCGCGCATCGGTCGCACTAATTAGAACCTCGTCACCTCGCAAGTCGTCGCATGCCCCCCTCCTCGTTGCCCCTATCCGTCGCGACTTGGGCACAAACTGCAAGGCCCTTCAACAGGCCCTCGTCGCAACAGGGCCATCGTGACTCCTCTTTCGTGCCACCAACCCGTCACCAGTGTCTGCGGAAACTGCTCATTCAGACGCACAACGACCGGCCACTACCCCGTACAAGTTGCTTCCCGGTGCTTCGCTGCCACAATGTGAAACTCAACTTTGTGCGGTCCTTGAGAGGAGGTTCCGGGCGCTTACATACACTACTCGTTAGGGACCTGCGAACAAACCAATTGATCAAAGTCCTGCTGGATTGAACCGTCTAGGCCACCGCAGCTACTGGTGAGAAGGCGAGGTTCATGGATACAGAAAATGCTCTGGAGTCTGCTGTGAGTCCTACGCATTGCAGCTGGAAACTCGCGGTAACCGCGCCGCCTCTGCTAGTAGACTACCTTAAGCCAAGCTAGGGACACTCAAGCGAGCCCGGTTACTGGGGAATGATTTCTCTAAACGCCCCAAACCGTAAACGGTTGCCCATTCATTCCCCCTTCTCCGTGGCAGCCTGGCCCGATCTCGACCTCTTCAACTTAGCAAACGCCTCTTGGCAGCTTTTTACCGGTTGGTCTTGTCCTTCAACGGACCGAAAGGGGGGGCGAAAAGAAGAAAATTCACAGCTGTTGTTGCACGCCACCAAGCACAAGAATGAGACGTTGCGATATACTTAGACAACGGCTTTCAACGTTTTTTTCGATGGGTCGAGGATCGCGTCGCAGCGCCGGCGCTTTGCGGACACCACACGTTCCTTTGTTGGTCTTGGCCCATCAGTCTCCCTCTGACCTACTGTCCCGTCCTCTACTGCGTTAAGCTGCGCGCTCGCTAGTTGCAGCTTCGGCTGTGGTACGCGAAGTTGGAATATCATGCAGAGACACTGGCCAAACTCAAGACCATCCTATCTTTGCTTCTGTGTAGTCTACACCTCGTAACATGTCTCGGACTCCTCGTCTCAACGGCCACATGCAGCAGCCTGCAGTTCGTATGCGCAACGCAGGCTGCCGCTGCGTCCTCGGCATTTGAACCCCAATTGCGCTGCACGATCAATGACCTGCAGCACAGCAAACATACCCTGAGCCAGGTTACAGTCGTCCTGGGGCCGTTAGAGCATCCTCCAACACTGGCCGATTCACAAGAAATTGCTCTCCCTCAGATTTCCTTTGCCCCAAGAGTCAACGGCAACCTCGACTCGTGGCTCTCCACACCGGCACAACATGACGTTGCTGTTCGAGTGGGAACGCAGCCATGTGGGCTACGGTCAAAAGACGACAAATTCATGGGTTCCATGGGCACGAAATAGGGGACCTTCTCCTGAGGAACCCGGACGGCGATTCCTCCTCCCATTAACTTGATGCGAAGCGATGTCCGGAGCCCCGCCCCCGTCTCCCGATCCTTGAGCCGATTATCCAGCTTCCAGCAGCAGATTACCTCGTCAGCGTCGTCATCGCCGTCGTCGGCATAACAGATTACAGTCACTGGACAACCTATGGGCCGTGCTACGAGGATGGCTCCAAAGTAGGATTCGGCTGAGGAAGACAGCTTTCATGCAGCTGCCTCAAGAACGTCATCCAAGTGACCGGATTCAGGAACATCGATAATCATGGATCTCCAGAAGAATCGGTATCAGCAAGTACTTGGGTCACAGACGACCAGAAGTCAATGAGTCGTTGTTGCTGTTAAGCACCTTGGCGGCGTCCGATCTTGACATCCGATGAAACAAAGGCCGTTCATCTATCAGCTGCGTTTTGAAACGGAGCACATGGCTCGTCTGAGCGTGCACTTATTTCCAAACCCTTGGGGTCAGTGACGAACATGGGCTGGCACCAGTCCCTGCATCTACGGATTGGCAAACAAACGTGTGCATCTGTGCAGCTCAGACGATGCGTTTGAATTTATGAGAACTTCGGGGCCGAAACAATCTCGACATCGCCGAGTGTTGCACGTTGTAAGTTGCGACCAGGAGCTCCGCCTATTATTGTGCTAAGCCCTGAGCTGAGGATGCTAACACGCGACAGACTCCGACAGTATCGCTGTCTCTCTGACAGCCGCTCTGCCCCATCAATGCGCGACTCTCCAAATCCTCCTCATTTGCCCCAACAATAAAGTTCTGGGCACATTCAGTGAAGCGCACTGAGCAGGGCAATGCCCAAACTCAACTGACGATGCCAAAGGTAGTCTGCAGCAGCCAAGCAAACACTGCGCCTTGGATGACTTCGTCCACCTGCAAGATTCTCAAGTTTGCTTTGACCTCGCTCGTCCAGCGCAAAATATTAGCGCCAGTTATCACCGGTCTATTAGTCTAGTTGGTTAGGACGTCGGATTCTGACTATCGGAATTTCCGTAGGCCCAGGTTCGAATCCTGGATGGACCTCTCCTTTTGCAAATCACGCAAAGATGGCATTAAATCGTCTTTCTTTTGGTTCAGAGTTGAGGTTGAGGTTGGGGCATTGCTCTTGAGGTTACGACGTTAGCTTTTGTCCTACAAACCCCGAATCGATCCTGGATAGATGGTGGTTTGTCACGGTGTCCCGTAACTCACTGATATCAGGGCCATGTCCAGGTCCGCTTGTCAGCCAGAAGGCCGCCAACTTGGCACCGGATTGAATCCGGTCGAATTCTTTGAACAAAGCCTTTGGAAAGAATTACTGCCTTAGATACTAGCGCCAGTGACTTACCATGGAGACTACAAGCGACGAAGGTTCTCCTCAGCAAGCTTAAGGTTTAAAACATTTGGGTCTTGATCTTGAAGCACTCTAAACCGATGCACGCTTTCTGATTGTGATAACGTATGGTCAAGCCATGGCATACTCCACAGCAGCTTTCATTCATAGCAGAGGCAGCAATACACATAAGCCTTTCAATATCGACTAACGGTAGTACGACCTACCGCAAGGAACACAGAATCGGTGACCTTGCTTCGCGGTCCGGCCACAGCCGCGCATACAAAGTCCCGAACGCTGCAGGCTGCCGGCATGTATTATCCTGCCGCAAGGGCTGCAGAAGCGATGGCCGGTTAAGGCAGGCGCGATATTGCATCGTAGACAGGCGGACATGATGGTCTTGAATTCGTGTGTAGCGCGCTATATTTGTAGACCTATGGGCCGTGTTAGCTTGAGTCACTGAAGAACAGAAGGTACTAGATACAGTCTCGCTAACCCTTGATTTATGAAAGTGCTTGATAGTAGCGTCGTGGATTGATTATACCTTTGTAATTATCATGAGGTAGAGATTGATCATCAATGACAATGATGTCAAAGTTGATCAGCAGAATGGAGAGAGCGTGAGATGAGAGTAGGTTTCTAATTCCAGACAAAGCGAAGGCCCGAGGGAATATGACAGACTTATATCTCCTACCTCATATGTTTGTGGTAGCCGCATTTGCCGATGAAGCCTCGATAGGGAAGTTGCAACATTGACGAGCATCTATCTGCCACCTGACCGGCTTTATCCGGAAGATGGCTGCATCGAGGTAATACGTCCAATATCACAGCCTGACTTTCATACCCACCAATAGCTATACCCTTGTCGTCGTGGCCCTCGAGGGCAGTAGGAGAGCGGGATCTACGCACGGGAAGCTGCCAAAAACGGATCGATCGGGAAGTAGGCTGGGATCAGATCCCACCTTTCAGTATTCTCAGATAAGCTGCTGACGAATTGTGTTGATAGGATGTGTCTCGTGATCCCCATGCAGACATGATGGAGCGTTGAAGAAGAGGGGTGTGGGAGAACCCCTGCTGACAAAAAGACCTTGCATATGGCAAGCTGCAAGACTTGGAATCCCCTCAAAAGAATGTTGCTTAGGTTTCTTTGGCGATAACAACTTTCGTGATCATGATAATGTGATAGTAGAGAAGCTCAGATCCATTGGATTCTATTTTTGGCACCTGTAAACAACTTCTTTACACGGCAAGGGGCTCGACGATCGGATCAAAGCATGCCCGATAATCATCTCAGATGGCTCGAATTCACAAGCGCCTTTCAACATGAGTCGATCATTTGTTGTCGCTTGATTCAATAAGTTGATTTCTACGTATGCACTTATGACTTAAGTCTTCAGCGCTCCTCAAATGGGCGTCTGGTCATATATGAATTCCAAGTCTAAAACGCTCGAATTTGCATCGCAAATCATGCTGACTTTACTTGGATCAACCAAGTCTGCATTGAAGCGTAGCTGAATTTTCCGCAAGCTCGCACATCCTTCTCCAGTCCGATGCAGGTCCATAAGTTCACGGATATGAGTCAGTATTTCCATGGTGCACCCGTACAGCTCGAGGCTCTCCAGATTAGGAGGTATATGATTGACGAGTCGCGGAACTCTCTTCAATTCCGACACCTTCTCCTCTTGATTGAAGTTGTTGTAAAGGCTTGGGATTGTCCAAAGATCGGTGAAACCAGTAAAAGCCTCCATGCCGATGTGCAATGTCTTCAACGAGACCATCTCCCGCAGGAACGTACCGATAAAGAAGCCCTCTAATTCGACGTACCATTCTTGATTGCGCCACTGGCCTTGGTAGTCGATATGCAAACATTCGAGAGTATCTCGATGCGGTGACAGAGCCTGGGCTAGATCTTGCGGCTTGATCTGCATATCTAGGAAACTGCTGTCACCTGGGGTCCAGCGAAACGACTTCAACTCTCTGCAAGCACGGATGACTGTGCTTAGGCCCTCCTGGGTAATGTTTGCATCTAGCAGAGTAAGATTTTGAACGTTTGAAGACCTGGGCGGATTGGCGTTCTCGTCGAAGAGGTGCCCGTTTGGGCCACTGCTCGATAAACTCGCGCACATGAATGTCCGTAACTGAGGTAGTTGCAGGAATTCCTTCCCAATGTTGAAGAAGTGGAAAAGACTCTTGGGCATCTCTGGCTCGCCGCAGTACTGTCGCAAGTGATGGAGTAACGGGGCCTTCATGCTCCCCCCGTGCAATGCCGCAGCCTTGATCAAGCGAGGAAGCAGACGAGGCGCGAGAGGCGTTCCCAATTCGAGGACCTGGATCTTCGGGCATGCGAGAAACATGAGGCCAATCTGCTGCTCGACTAAGCCGTCGGCGAGGCCTCGAAGCCACTCGTGTCGCACAGCCTCCCAGTCTTCAACGTGATCGGAGAGACCCGATGCATCAATCATGTTGGTGTACACGCCAATCTCATCGCTTTCGGGACCCAAGGGTTTCTTGCTCGATGGGGCAGTGCGGTAGATGAGGCTGGTGGAGACATGTTTGATGGTAATGCGGCGGACATGTGGTGCAAGCTCAGGCTTGGTGATGGTGATGTAACGCAGGAAGTCGAGGTTGCGGCTGCGCTTCTGCGCGTATTGGCTTGTGTTCTTTGGGCCGGCGGTGCTCTGATAGGTTCGGACTGAGAGAGGTAGAGCGATTTTGTAGAGATGTTTGCATGTTGGAAGCACTGCGTAGATCGATGCGGGGTGTGAGGAGGCGAGAGCCTCGAGGATGTGGGTTTGGATTTCCACCGGTAAATCGACGAACCCAAGGGAGGGCGTCGACGAGTTTGAGCCAGGCATGATGCTTTATTTATGGGTTTCTTCCCGCCATCAAATGAGTAAACCTCGGATTGCCGGTGGTTGTTCTGATGATGTTGCGTGCGCCAGATTGAGTTGTGGCTGGAGGAGCTAATGCTGTGGCAGGCACCAACCAGAATAGACCTTCCCGCTCGGTTCCTGTTGAGAGGTTTGGCGCTCGATTGTCATTGGCCCTCGGTGAGATCAACCTCTCGCTTTGCATCATTTCTACTTTTTCGAGGACGACTATATTATCTCGAAGAGATTATTGGAAATAAATCCAGCGCTTCGCCATCAGGCGTTCCGCATTTTTCTAAGCCAGTCAAGACAGATTTTAGTGGGCACAGAATTGTCAAGCTATCCAGGAGGCGGCCAAGATCTCTTTGATCTCGCAGGCAAGTAATAAACAGAGAAAGATTCACATATGAGGTGATTTAGATTGGTTTCTAGCCTAGGGTTGTTCTTCAACCACGCCGCATCTCCGGCAGATCAATGTTTGATCTGATCCCAGTGCTTTCTCTCGGGCTGCGGCTTAATTGTCCTACTTGACTGAGTGTTGACAAGCTGAGCTTGAAGTTGTGCCAGTCATCGACCGTGATAGGAATGAGTGAGGCTACTAATCAGGCGTACGTGGTATGGGTATTCCCCCAAGAAACCTAAGCTGGAACCCAGTGGCAACGCGGGCTGATGTTGGGACCACCTGAAGAGCTAGCAAAGAGCGGATGGTAGTATCTTTGGGTATTCGTGCCCCCGGGGCCGGGGGCTTCGCACGACTGTGTCTCTTCATGCCAAGTGCCTGGACGCCCAAAATACTCGGACTCTCCACAGTTTTTCTTCTCAAATGCCTTCATGCTAGCCTGGTAGGCAGCTGGTACGGCTGGATCACAACTGACTTTGTATCGAGGGTTGCCAGCCATCGCCACACTGGCGAGCGCAAAAAGAGTGGCTACGGCTGCGAGATGCACTGAGTATGTTAGATGGGATAGGAATTGACGTGGTATTGACTACTTACTGATGCTGGTGGTGATTCTGTGAATCCTTAGATCTTGAAGGCAAAGTGAGGTAGGACTAATGATGCGGCTTATTTCTATGGAGGAATTTCAGGATATGTCTAGAAATCAGCTACCACACGGCGCAACGTGGCTTGATATAACCCCGAAATCGTCGCTCTCGGGTTCATGTAGTCGTATCGTTAATGCAAAGTCCGTCGGTGTTTAATCTCGTTCAAAAAAACGTTAAACTGGGCATGTTGAACTTACGTGCTCGAGGCCATGAGATAACAATGGGGTCGCCGTAGAAGCCTAAGGTAGCTGGCAGGTTTGATACGAGTGGATATTAAAGTGCATCATAAAAGAACTTTTAATTGATTTCTCTCAACATTCAAACTCTATGTGCTCGTATCAAGACTGGCAGCATTGGTTGCGATGCGGTCTGACTCGGCAATATGCGAGCGGGGAAGAGTGACGACGAGTTAGAAGAGAACTGGGTACCTTAGCCTTGACCAGCTCCTTGCACTATAATCCTTGATCCCCATTTACCATTATATGAAATAAGTAATTGAATTTAAGTGCTAAACGGGTTGCTTTTGTCGCTTGATTAACAAATCAAACGAAATGCTGCTAGCCTGTGATCATTCTTCCATTGCGAATGCCAAATAAAAATAGGAAAGAACGATAGATTTTGGGAAGTTTTATTCACAACTTGGATTGGTTTATATCATTGAGGCTTACCTATGCTATTTCAAATTAATTAAATACATCCTCTCATCTCGTAGTTACAAGGTCAAGGCGCAGTGACGAAGGCGAGGGGGAATCAACAGACGAGCATAGAGGCATCAGCTAGGTCACCTGCCTTAGAGAACTTTGTTCAGGAGAGATAGACTGTTTTGCGACCATTCTCATCGCAAAAGGGAAGCATCGTGGAGATGAGCCATTTGACGAAGGAATGCCCTTAAAGCAAGATCCAAAAGGCCTAATAAGAAGAATTAAGTGCAATTGTCGAGAACGGTGTAAAAGAAACGCGAAGACACTAAAGTGATCGATTTTGGGAACAAAACATGTCGAAGTTTCCCAGATTTGGTAACCTAAGCCCCTAACTGTTGATTTATGTAGTCATATGCACAACGTTCAAAGTACGTGTGACGGCCCTGAGCATTGCGTTATTACGCGCTCGTCCTGGCAGTATGCAGCTTAAAATGAGAAACAAGACAAGATCAAGTCGAATGAATGAACGCGCAAATGCATCAAACGTGTTGCCGTCATAGCCATCATGACAGATTGTAACAAAAGGCTTGTACGACCTAAAAGGGTAAGAGAATCATGCATATATATTATAGGAGAGTTGACCAGGGCTCACTCCCTGTGTATTGACGCTGGTAATGGATGCTTCTCTTACCGACTAGGAGCATTGCAAACCCTTGGTGATATTCCACAGGAAACGAAAGCTGGATGAGTCCATGTTTATATAGTCGACAACTCAGCCCCAAAGCGACGGATCACGCATATTCGTATCAGTAAACATCCTGTACCAGCAATACTCACCGGTGGGCTAAGTTTCGCCGCTCCGTCTTCTAAATAAACTTTGAAAAGCAGGTGATGAGAAATCAGTCCATCAGTGAAGCCAGAACCAGTCTCGAACATTGCCCTTCTTCTAGCCTAGCAGTATTCATGACTTCCGGCGCTATGAAATCTTTCCTGTCTCGATAGTACTTTCTGGCAAAAATCGAGAATCCAGCCTAGATTAGGACATACCGCGGTATTTCTGGGCAATTGATTAAAGATAGCTTTCGCAATTGAAATTATATAGACTCACACAAGATCACGCTGACATGCCTGTCATCATGCATTGGATACAAATACAGCCTGAGCTCACTGCTCCCGCTAGTAAATTCGCGAGAGTCATGGAATCTCATCAGAATATCTGATTACACACGAGTTCAGCCTGTAGCTTATCAAGGTTGATACAGTAAATTCCCATGTCGCGGATGAGCCAGAATAACCAACTCAGATCGGCTACGACGCAAATTTGTGTAAATTAACTTGCGATTTCTGAGTTGTTTGTTCCTGCAGTCTCGCAGTCTCGCTAGCCCCAAGGTCGGAGTTTCTCAAATCAATCCAGAGAAATTGATAGTTGCCGGCAATTCCGATGAACCAATCGTTTCGAATAGCAAATCCTCACAGTACCTAGCTCACTTAAAAGAGAGACGACCCACGGGTTTCGACAATTCGCCTGCTATGTTCTACAATCTTGCTGGTAGAAATTTCCCACCCACCTTCCTCTAACTCGATCATACACAAGCCATCCGTACGTTGGATGACTGTAACAAGCCTTAGCTGTGCTGACAACATCTCCAGAATATGAGACTCACAACTCTGGTGACCGTTCTTTCGATTTCGATTACCGCTCAAGCTTGCTCTGGCTATAAGTACTGCCACTGTTACGACTCAGATGGTACGCCAAATGACAGTGCCACCTCGACAGTCTGCACCAAGGCTGGGTATCAAACGAAATACAACTCGGACCTTGGTCACTACGAGTGCTACTACTATAGCGAGACACTGTTCAAAAACATTGGACAGAGCAATTGCGGGATGAGAGAACGTTGTATCAAAGCTGGAGCCACTGGAAAGGACTCAAGCTGTAGGGGAAAGGTGTAGATGATTAATCATTCAAGCTCATCATGAAGAAGGTTCTTCACAGTCATTTTATTACTATTTGACGGCTCAAAACTCTATATCCGAATTCAAAACCAAATCTTGAGGGTAGTCGAAGTCATCCAAAATCACACCATGTTCTGTTTGGACTTTTCGGCGCCCCAGAGCGTACAAGTTTTGGCTTTCGAAGAGGCCCTCTCTTTCTGCTCCTAGTACCTTTATCAGACGGAGAGCTGAAAGCCGCACTTCTAAGCACTTGCACTCTGTGACAACGAAGAACAGCACAGGTGAGAATGCAAGTTCGAAAACAAATCGTGGTAGCCGTATGGTCCGCATATTACTAAATTCAGAAGCCAACGCAATCATCTCGCGGAAGCCGTGTATGTGTCTTTCATCGTTGCCCCCATGATCTACTGGGAACAGCATATCGAAGCAAACTTGACATGTGTGGAAGCGCATACGCATCAGTGCTTGCGGACCTTCGCTAGCACAATTTGGCTGAGATGTTGAGTCAATGTCGAGGCCATCCATCAATTCTCTGCATTTCTGCAACAGAGAACCGATGCAGTTCCGCTCCTTCACCTGATCGAAATCAGCTCCTTTCCGTTTGCAATGTTGTAAAATCATTAATCGTCGGCAAATTTCGTCGATCATCGAGTGTGCATCCTCCACGTTATCAAATCTCGTTGGTACCGCATATCTTAGGACATGTGTGAGTGCTGAGTCCGCAGGAGGCCTTCCAAGGAGCAGCGGAAGGACGCTCAATCGCCGAAAGACTGGTACGATGTGATCTTGTATCCAGGGTTTTTCGCTGCCATAAGTCTCTAAGATTTGGTTGCCGTGTTTGCAATGCCGAATCGCGGTCTCGTTATTTGACTGCAGCAGCTCGATACATATAAACAAGACGCATACAATCAGGACTAAAGACTGATCTTGTACAGCCTTCACACCTTTGATTGCCGCATTATAGTACTGTAATGCAAGCAAAGGTTTAGTGGATGGGATTGCCCGCATCTCGCGAGCCTCATATAGGTGACTGATTGCTAAGAGCGAATATTTCACTATTGGCTCAGATTGGCTGAGCTGCATGACAAAGTACGTCCAAAAAGCAGGCTTCCTAGGGCCAGATAGACGAGGCGCAGCGTATTCATAGAAATATTGTAGTGACCTTCGCTCACTTGCGGAATCTGATCCATGATGTCGCAGGGCTGCATGAATCTTGAACTCGACCGATGCCTGTGCCAAGTAGCCGTCGCACTTTCGGCCTGTGTCATTGCAGCGTCGGCAAGAAGGCTTGGTTTCGTCGCACTTGATCTTGCGAATCCTACGAAAATTAGTACAAAAGGATTCGCCTGAGGCCTCTGCGAGGCATTTCGATCTATGCATACTTGCAAGTCAAGCACCCGGTCTTGGTCTTCTTGGAACCTTTTCGTGCCATGGGATGATCACATCAGGCGACCAAAGACAGGTTTTCTCATCAATTCCGGCAATATTAAGGCATGAGAGCTCTGGTTCCGTTGACACAGGTGCGATGACTTGCGCTCTAGTCTATTCCACCTGACGTGATGATGTAACTGGAAGTTCAGAACGCCCCTTTGTTTGCTATGGGTCCTGGGGCGGTAAGTCATGTAAGATTTGAATAAAAGCCGAACGAGCCAATCAAGCTTTGCACTAAGTACCTTACGATTTCTAATCATCGTCGTCACTACACTAGCTATCTCATGAACCCTCTGATTGGTTCATTCGGGTTTGAAAATCCTAGAGTTGAGTCTAATGGCACTGAATACGTGTAATTCCGTAGTCGTCTTGGGAAATCATTTGTGAGCGGTGCTTAGCTTACAGTGTTGCAAAGGTGATAACGCGATGTTCCACTTCCTTTGGTTTGTCAATTAAGTACGTCGAACAAGTATTTAAGTGAGTGGTCCTCCGCTCAGCACATGCATACTGATAGCTCAACACACTGAAACTGAACCATCGTCAGCCCTAGGTCAATATTTAGACTAACTTTGTTCTAGTCAATCTATATTCCATTCACAGCCATGTCACCTGTGCGACAAGATCGTAAGATTGCCTTAGTTGGCGCCAGTGGTAACCTTGGGCAACACACCCTGACGGCACTGCTCTCTCATGGTATCCACGACATCACCGTCATTGTCCGGAACGAATCCACCTCTGAATTCCCTGACAGCGTCACCGTCAAAAGAGTTGCCTTCGATGACGAAGCTGCTCTCACGTCTGTCTTGCATGGTCAAGAGGTCTTGGTCTTGCAACTTGGCATCCCAGCTGTGGGCCTCAGCGACGTCTTCATCCACGCTGCCGCAAAGGCCAACGTCCCGTATATCCTTCCGACAGAGTTTGGTAGTGACCCAGAAGGAAAGCTCATTGAAGAGCTGCCTGAAATCGCTGATAAACGCAAACACCGAGAACTCATCGAAAAGCTAGGAGTTGGTTCTTGGATCGGTGTCATTACCAACCCTTGGTACGATTTCTGCCTGCCTATGGGCGATGTCTTTGGTATCGACGCCAAAACACTCAAGGTTACGCTTTGGAACGGGGGGCGTACAAAGATGAATTACACTACGCTGGCCCGAGCTGGAGCGGTTACTGCCGAGGTTGTGGCTATGCCAGATGTAGAACTTGCACGCTATCGCAACAAATGCTTCTACACTACTTCCTTCCACGTCACTCAGAGAGAGGTACTGAGTAGCATTATGCTGGCGACTGGAACATCTGAGACCGATTGGGACATTCGCGAGGAGGCCGTGGATGATGTTCTTGAGAGAGCCAATGCGATGAGTGGGGATGACGCACATGCTGTGGTGCTTGCGAAGTTCTTCCCACTACATTACAAAGAGGGCGAGGGGGGTGATTTCAACAGCAAGACTGAGGATCTCGGCCGTTTTGATCTGAGCAAGGAGGACTTCCATGCCGTCACGAAGGATGTAGTTCAGCGGATGCTGTCGCCCTAGAGTCCTGTCATGCGCTTAGAGAGAACCAGAAATAGTCTTTGTCCTTCAGAACAAGCATGTCTCGCAATCTCTCTGAAACCTGTAGAAGTCGGCACTTGCACCATGATTGTCCTTCGGATATAGATACCCTTGTGGCTACATCAAGCATGGACTCTTGACCACCACAATAGGTCACACTAAATGTAAGGTACTTCTCGTAAGTGATCGAAGACGACTCACTGAGCGTAGATAATGCATAAAAAGACACCAACTGATCATAGATGGTGATAATGCGCTGATGTTGCCCCTTTCAACTGTTGATGTGCTCAAGAAGCCGACTCCAACCGCTGTGCCTCTCACTTGGCACACACCGGACCAATGTCGGGCCAACTTTTCGGCCCAACCCCGCCAAGTGAACGCATCTCAGAGCGATCGACTGAATTGGATAGACATGCATCGGCATCAACTCGGTAAACGGACGGGTCGCAGTCCGGGTGAAACAGAGCGACGTGACGCTTAAACCAGATCACGAGTGCACAAACCCAGAAGTGTGGCTTTCATCTCCTCTTTCTCCTCTCTCCTTTCTTTCTGACGATTTGAGCATCGCTTCTCGAAAAGCATCTTGACTTACAGCAGTAGAATATACCAAAAATGACCGCGTGGGAAGTGAATGGCAAAGTCGCGCTCGTGACCGGTGCTGGATCAGGTTGGCATCCTTACCCCCTTTTCGAAGTTACCAATACTAACAGAGTTCAGGTATCAACCATGCGCTGACCAGAGCCCTTCTAGAGTCGGGTTGTTCAGTCGTCATGGCGGATTTGAGACTACGTCCCGAGGCCGAAGATACACTCAAGAAATACCTCCATCCCCCAACCAAGCCTGGCACTGCGTCGGCTATCTTCCATCAGACAGACCTCACCGACTGGTCTCAGATCAATAAACTGTGGGACACCGCACTCAAGACATATGCGCGAGTCAATCTACTCATCAACGGGGCCGGAATCTATGATCCCCCATCCAGCGACTTTTGGAACCCGCCTGGGATCTCGCCTCTGTCCCGAGATCAAGCCGATGCCAAAATCGGCATGTACCAAGCCTACGCCATCAACACCATTGCCCCTGTCAGACTTGCCCAGATAGCCATCGAATACTGGTTGCGTCCCGAAAACCGACATCTTGCAGGCAATATTCTCTGGGTCGCCAGTATGGCGGGCTATGTTCACGGCCTCCTTACGCCATTCTACTACTCAAGCAAGGCAGCCGTTGTCAGCATGTGCAAGTCTCTTGGCTCTTTGAATAAGATTGCCGGCATTAGAAACGCCGCAATCTGTCCGGGAGTAGTCGATGTAAGTTTCAACCTGCCTCAAGTCCGTAATGTTCACATACAATGAGTGCTGATAGCCGGCTGCAGACCCCAATCTTCCACGCCTCCTACAGCCGAGAGCGTGTACATGCCGACGACTTGATGCTAAGCGTTGACGAAGTGGTCAACGTTGCCATATCAGCCATCTGTGACTCGAAATACGGCGACGGAAACGTTATAGAGGTGTTCTGCGGAGGAACGAAGGAGGACCATAAGGTGTGTGTTCGGGATGTGCCCTTGGAAAACTTGTACGACGTTGAAGGTATGAAGGGCCTGGCAGCTGGAACGCACATGCTTGACAAGCAGGACGAATTCGAACAGAAGTTGAAGACGGGAGGCCTGGAATTTTCTGCAAAGATCTAGGAGCGGACACGGGTTGGACAGATAGAACATCAGTCTGCATAGGAACAATCCACTGCCGCAGGTACCGTTTATCGAATTTCGAATGACAAGGCAGGCAGGGCAGTGACACCAGGATGATACTCCTCTTAATCTCCTAGGCCAAGGTTGAACGACTTCGCGGGCTATTCCATAGCGTTTCAGTGGGAATGAAGGTATAACCATACTGCAGTACTTCGGGCGCGGTTCATCCTGTGACTTTCCCTACAGTATAGTATACCATCAGGGGCTGCCTACTACTTTAGCTAGCAGTTGAGCCAACTCCAACCAATGCCATAAATGCCCTTTCCCCTTCTTCCAGCCGCACTTCGAGCACAAGCCCAAGATCTATCAATTCTGTGTAGAGTCTTGGCTTGGATTCCTGACCTGAGCTCAATTTCCCTCAGCGCTCCTCTCAAGCTCTTCCAGAAACCTCCTCACTTCGGAATCCAGTTTCAAGCCCGACTGAAGCATGTATTCATCGGTGCCTTCTATTTGCAGACCTTGGAGAGATCGGGCACGGCTGAGCGCTACGTATGCTTGGCCCTTTTCAAAGACAGAGCCCAGGTCAACGATTAAGCGGTCAAGAGACAGACTCTGGCTCTTATGGATGGTCATGGCCCAGCCTGGAGCGAGAGGTAGCTGTGTCCGAGATACGAGCATGTGCGGGTGTTTTGTGCCGAGTTCGTTTACTGCGCAATCCGGGCCAATGACGCGGCGTTGGCCGTTGTTGAATTCGACCTCGGGATCTTCATTGAGTCAGCCGATATGAGGAAAAAATGAAGAGGTTGTCCCAGCAGCTGAGCGGGATTTCTACTCACATAATTCAGGCGCGCCTTCGTCCGTTAAGAACATTTCCGTCAGACGAAAACGTTCCATAGCAGCATCGAAAGCTGACAAATCCTTCTTGTAGTTTTTTCGCTTAGGTTCTGTGGGACGTTCAAACTTGGAGCGTGAGACAAAGCCGCAGATTTTGCCCTGACTGCCGTTACACAGGCCGCTATCTAGATCAATCTGGTGCATATAAGTTACGAGGTTAGTGAATCTAGCGACAAACGTTTATATGCAACAATTGCTTGCGGAGGATCTTACGTTTGCAAGCAAGATGACGGGCATATTGAGCTTCAACTCTAGAAATTGGGCATAGCGATGTTCGCCCAAGCGGGACAACGGTTGCCGCGAAGGAGGTGCTTCAGGGTCCGAATCTCGCTTCTGGATAATGTACTTTGTTAATAACCCTTACTTTGAAGATTTAGAGTCGCGCCTAGTTACAGCTCGACGGATGAGGTAGCCAGCACTTGCCGTATAGTAATCGATCAGACGATCAAGTTCTTCATCTGTGCTATTATTTGTATTGGCATAATCGAGACACCAATATTTTCGGGACGGGCTATGGAGCTGTTTGAGCTGAGATTCGTTATGCTCTTGAGCTTGCAGTCTATGACTGAACAAACGAGTTGCGTTCTCAACCTGGGCAGGATGATTTAGCAGTAGGTCGATATCTCTCTGGCTGAGAACTTCGCCTAACCGGCATGTCTGAAGAATCCTGACAAAGTCCTCGTCTGTTTGTCGATGAACCTTCTTCAGGTGGACGTACTTGAAGTTGCACCTCACCCACTCAGAAGACTTGAAGGCCCATTTGTCGTGCTCCATGAAATACCCATGAGTATTCTGCTGCGGCCCTTCATCGCTGACTCCTTGAGGGCAGAAATATGAACGGACTGAGTTCCCGACCTTTTCCTGTTGCATTTCCGAGCCACATTCAAGACAATGCTGGAATGGCTCTACCGGAGGCAGCTGACAGAAATCCCCAACAGCGATGACCTGGACGCCGCCAAAAGCGCCCCGAACCTCCATCTGACTCTGGGGGTTATTCGGGGCTGCTTTGCGTCGAATTCGTCCCATGACCTGACCAAGTCGTTGAAAGAACTGATTCTCGACCATGCTGATTTCGTCGATGATAAGAACATGGGTACCAACTATTCGATTCTTGTTTTTCTTGTGTCGCGACTTTCCCACTAGTATACCGAATGGCTCTGAGAAATCATCCGGTGTCCAGCCCGCGTAATTCCACATCGTTCTACCACCGATGTTGACAGAAGCGATGCCGGTAGGTGCGATTAGGTGTACTTTTCGTTCCTTCGCTTTGAACATCTTGTGCAAGGCCTTTACGAGGACAGACTTGCCGCATCCGCCCGATCTACGTGCGTATGAAGTTAGTAGATGATTATTGAGTTATTGACGCCACGCGTTGGACCATCATGAGGCCACCTTGCTTACGCACCCAGTGATGAAAAGGTTATGTCCAGCCATGGCAAGATCCATGGCGGCTTGTTGTTCCTGGCAAAGAGGAGGCTCGCAAGGGTCTGGTGCTGGGTCGAAGCTCTGGGCTTGGGGCTCGCCCGCATCAGCAGCTATGGCTGCAACATCGCTAGGCGCAGCACTGCCAGGTATACGGCTGTTAGGCGTGGGAGGAGGATACCGAGGTGTGCTCTCAAATGTGTTTGGCGATGCAGTACAAGGTTGCGGTTGAGGTACAGACCTTGGCTCTTCTGCCTCGAGCTTTTCTGTCAACTTGTTACGCAGGAGATCCACCTATGACAAAACCCATCAGACATACTCTTTGTATCGCGAAGCAGAATGGTGTCTCACAGCGTCTTTGTACGTTGTTGTTTTCTTGTCTGCGTTCAAGCAGTCAGCCCGGGGAACTGATTTTTTGCAATTTTCGAGGTGCAACTTACGCCCTGCCCCTGGATATCTTTCAACCAACGGCTGACATTTGCCCCAACTTTCGAATATACCGGTTTCCGTTCCATTCCATACCACGTAGTACTTTTTGGCGCCGGAAAGTTCCTTTGGTATGCCCGACGTGTACTTTCTCATCATGTCGTTCACTTTGTCTGCTACTGACGTTTGTGGGGGGTTATTGGAAGGCTCAGCATCTTTCTCTGCTTGAGAGCCGGAGCTAGCTTCGTGATGGTCATCGTCAGTGTCGCCGTGTCTCGTCAAATTATTGTGGTCGGGTTCGGGTTGGAATCGCTGTCTTTTGGGTGATGGTGGGGAGAGGGAACCGCCCGGCGCGCGTTTGGGCCCGAATTGGACTAGTCATTGGAATCTTAGCCATGTTTTTTGTATGATGGGACTTGTAGTCGAGTTTTACGAACGTGTGGTTTGTTTGAAGGCCATTTTAGTTAGCCCTTTTTTGCGCGACGGTCAGAAAGATCCCGCGTCATGAGGCGGAGAGGCTCTGGCATGATCGCGTAAATTTCATATTAAATGA